TTGCAGCTTTATGTTGTAGCACGAATGAGTTGGTTCGATCCGGGGAGGACCACGCTCTCACAGAATACCAGCGTAAAATAGCAGCTTGATACTGCTGTGTTTGGTATGGTGAGTATAGAGATCCGGAAACCCTTTTTTAAATGGAAACCGAGGCATTCTATCTCAGTCTTTAAGGGTGACAACGCATCTGCATTTTGATTCTTAATTGAGATGTAGATGCCTATGGACCACAGCATCCAGTTACTATCAGGTGGACTGTGTGCTCGTTTGTCACCCTTATTCTATAAAAAAAATCTCTAAGTTTATTAAATGTATTTATTAGGTGCATCATCATAGACACAAAGTTCATATTATTACGCTTTAAATATAAAACTAGTAGTCCGCAACTAGAACAAATTTAAGCTTGTTACGTACGTTAGTACTAAGAAATTAAATTTAAAAGAATCATATTACCTATTTATCGTATGCAGAAGTAACAATAAAATTTTCACAGACTTTTTTTATCTTTGCGTTTTATCGACTAACGACTTTATTTGTACAAATAAGTATAATGAATATCTTCTTCAGACTCTTCAAAAAGTCGTTTGTATATTATATAAATAATAGATTATATATTTATAAAACTAAAGGGAAAAATAACTTACTGCCCACTTGATGCCCTGAAGTTAAAATGGCGATTGCAAGTTATTGTCTCCTGCAACCAACTTCAAACAAAGGAGGCTACAGATGCGCTGTAACTTCTGATGAATAAATCGGAATGCCTTACATCCTGTAATTATATTGCTTCTCTATACCCTTCAGACCGGACACATCAGTAAACGCACTGAGAGTTTTGGCGGGAACTTGGCCGTAGATGGATTGTCGTTCCTGTTTTGTCGCTTATATAATGGTTTGAAGTGGATTTTGATTCGTAAAAGTGATGCTATTTTTTTTTAATTAAGTGTCTGCGCGTGTCTCGTGTGAACTATTAGAGAAAACGACGAAACAGGTGCTTTGATGTCGATATAAACCTCAAGTTACGAGGGTGGATTGAAAAGTACTCGGCCTAACCAAGAAAATAAACACATACTAAATCAGTTATATTTTTATTTTTCTACATAATCACCATCAAGTTCAATACACTTTTGCCACCTCCCCTTCCAAGCATTTAGACCGTTGAAAAAAAATGATTCTTCCTTAGAGTCAAAATATGCGTCTACAGCTGCTTTGACCTCGTCGTTTGTCGAAAATCTTTGACCTCCCAAGTGCTTTTTTAGGTTAGGGAACAGAAAGAAGTCTGATGGTGCCAGATCAGATGAATACGGCGGATGCGGTAACAGTTCAAAGCCACAGTTGTGAATTTCAGCCATTGACTGTACTGACGTGTGAACACGGGCGTTATCTTGATGAAACAGGACTTTTCTTCTGAGCATTCCTCGACGTTTTTCTTTTATTTCCTCTCGTAAACGACGTAGTAAGATGCAGTAGTAATCAGAGTTTATAGTCTGACCCCTTTCAAGATAATCAATCATAATCACACCTTTCGAGTCCCAGAATACTGAAGCCAATCACCTTATTTGCCGACAAAATCGACTTAGCCTTTTTAAGGGGTGGTGAACCAGGTCTTCTCAACTGTTTTGATTGTTGTTTTGTTTCCGGTGTACAGTAATGAACCCATGTTTCGTCCATAGTAACAAAACGATTCAAAAAATCATCTGCATCGGCTTCAAATAACTCCAAACAGTCGCGTGAAATAGTCAATCGCGTCCTTTTTTGTTCAACTGAAAGCAGTCGCGGAACCCACCTCGCAGACACCTTGTGGAAACCCAACTCGTTGACAATGATGTTTTGAGTTCGTTCATAAGAGATGCCTATAATCTCGGCTATCTCTCTAATTTTTAATCTGCGGTCTCCCATTATTAAATCAAATACTTTTTTAATATTTTCGTCAGTAGTTGACGTCGAAGGCCTTCCAGAGCGGGGTTCATCTTTCACACTCTCTCTACCACGCTTAAATTCTGCTATCCATTTTTTGACGGATGAATATGACAGAGCACAATCGCCTAATGTACTGACCATGTCATCATGGATGGCTTTTGATGATAGCCCCTTCTTATGGAGGTACTTAATGACGGCACGCTGCTCGATTTGCTCCATTCGCGGAAATTATGTCCGATTACTTTGTTAATAAATTTATAAAATCACAACTAATTATCGCACACGTTTCGAACTTCACACAATGAACTAGTCTGAACTGAACTAAATAATGTGGGTAGATTTGATTTTTAGAATTGAGTGGATCTGTGTTAGGCCGAGTACTTTTCAATCCACCCTCGTAATTTGATCGCTTGGGCGCCTCATGAACTTGAGTGGCTGTCGTCACCAACCGTCCGCTAGGTTGAGTTGTCGTCAAAATCTCCCAAGGGCTTTCCAATGTGACGCATCAGCATATTGTGAAGAAAAAGAATATAAAAATGAAGATTCCGAAAGTAATGATAGGCTCAGAAGGGCTAGAACCCAGAGCCGTAAAGCCAGTTAATTAAAAAAAAAAGTAAACGCACTACTGAACTAGGGTGATACTTATCCAGGCCAGGCGTACTCCTAGAGAGAAAAGGAGCATTTGATAGTAAGATGCACCGCGTGTTACTGAGATTTGCATTTTCATAAGAAGCTGGTACATTCGCAATACATTTTGACTATTAATCTCTATATATTAAAATCAATTGCTGTCCTTTAGTCTCCCTAAACGCCTAAAACTCGAAAACGGCTTGACCGATTTCGATGAAATTTCTTGTGCGTGTGTTTAAAATGGGTTCCTAAATGGTTTATATTCTCATTTGGACCCGGTAGTTAGCGCTGTTGCCGAGATCCAGAAATCACTCGTGCGAAGCTGGGCGGATCGGTCAAAGTTTTAAAACACAATATTTCCTTAGTGTTGCGGCGATTTTGCAAGTCAAATCGAATTGAGACCAGCACTGCCAAATAGTCTCTCGGGTCTGATAGAAGTTATTTTAAAATATTGAAAACAACACAATTATTATTCCGATGTGAGAGAACTCATTTGAAAACTACCTCCACAATTAGGTATTATGTTTCATCGTGTCGGCAAATAAATATTGGAGAGAGAAGCATTCGTTCCGGGCGGAATTTAGTAATTGATTTTAAACTAACTTCCGGATGATTTGGAAACTTAAAATTTTGAATGTGGCTCAAATTCGGATGGCAATGGAAGAATATGATAGAAACGTGGTATTTTTTTAATTAAAAAAAATTCATTGTACATTTTTGTCCTGGTACAAAAAATGAGAATGTGTACGATTTAAAATTGTACAGTGAAGTGCTTCACTTACCATACTAATATTATGCTAGATTGTTCATAGAAATCATTAATACCACAATACAATACATAATACACAATACAACCATATTGACGAATGGGTCAACATTTAGAGACACCTAACACGCATAAACCGATATCTATTGATCTCTTATCGCGCGAAACTACATCACCGAAGTACTAACGTGCGTTTGAAGAGGTTAACTATCCCTCGTTCAAATCCCTTTTTTATTAACAAAGTTTCTTTTTGCCATATGCTGGTTAAATGAAATATTAATTACAATTTTTAATGCTGATTTACCATGTGCTCGGCGGGGAAGGAAATTATCGTGAGGAAGCCTATATGTTTCGGGAGTACAATATTTATTATATATGTGAAATACTATAGCTACGTATATACATAGTGGCGGTCTAAGAATATTCGCTACCCTACCTCGTTCCGAAGGTATAAGGCGGCAGAGGGAAGCTGAGACAGGAGATCGGCAGCAGCATCTTCCTGATAACAACGGGAAATAAACTGCAATTTGTCTTTTTATAAGTGGTAGAGCCATGCTGCAGTTATATTAGTAGTATAGTTGTAGCACGAATGGGTCGGCTCGACCGGGGAAAGACCACGCTCTTACAGAATACCAGCTTAAAATAGCAGCTTAATGCTGCTGTGTTTCGTATGGTGAGTGTAGGAACCGGAGACTCTTTTTACTGGAAACGAGGCATTCCATCTTATTCCTCACGGGTGACAACGCATCTGCATTTTGATTTGTAATCGAGGATAGATGTAGATGTCAATGGGCCGCAGCAACCACTTACCATCATGTGGACTCGTTTGTCACCCTATTCAAAAAAAAGCGTTAGCAACTATGGCCAAAATCCTCCCTATGAGTCTCCCTGTGGGGGAGGCCTATGTTCAGTTGTAGACTTTTATAGGCTTTAATGGAATGGACATGTGAAGTACGCCAACATCTACTGAAGCAACGCAACGGAAGGCGAGAAGAGAGAAGGCCTGTGCCTGTCTAGACTTATGTAGGCCGTAACTTTACTTTTAATACCGTCATCTATCAGAGGCAAGATGAAAAATGATCTCCCGGGCATCTAATCGCCTGAGTATCCCCTTTTACGTTATCAACGAAATGAGATGGAATGATGGTTTTTATAATTCCGCCACTAATTATCACAGCATATTAAAGTCCACTGCTGAACAGAGGACACTTACATAGATAGTTCCATAGAGGATTTGCCATAGTTGCCACGCAACTGTTCTCTATTGTCTTCTGTTAATATTATTAGGAAATTAGCCAAGTTGAGAGAGCTAAAGCTGGAGAGCTTTTAAACGAACTACTTAGTTAATATCTAAACATTTTACGCAATATAATTCTTCAGAACAAGTAAATTTAAAAAAAGACACTCTTTAAATCGCGTTTTAAGTAAACGCCATTTTTAGATTAATGAGCATGATATTGTTACCGTAAAATTTATGATACTCCGATGATAAAAAACTAATCCAACGAGATCGCTTTCTTCATAATTACTCAAGCTGTTTATTAGGCGGGTAAAGGAAAGATAAACTTAGCATACCTATTGTATACCTACCTACATATTGAGTCTGAACAACATTACCCTTCTACTTGTTTAGTCAGATAAAAGAAATGTTTATAATTATAATACAAATATATATTTTTGTCTTCAGCCAAACGAAGGAGCAGACAATCAGGTAGCGCTCATTCACAGAATACGTAACTCCTTTTGTTCACTGTGACGTTTTTATATTATGTGTCCTGCTTGCTGTTTTCAATGCTCAGTTGACGCTTTTGTTGATTCAAATGCATGCTTCGCTAGATAAACATAGATTATATCATCGATGTCTGATTGGTACAATCTAATCAATAGTATTGATGTAATGCCGAATAAACCGTTTAGAAATATTGACTCGGGCGTTACTTTGTGGAAATCCATTATAATAAAGATATTAATTAATTTGCAACCTTCCGCTAACTAAATACAATGATGTGTCTTACCTGGATTGAAGCATCCTCAAGTGATGTAGACTACATAGTCTACATCACATGAGGATGCCTCGTGTAGAGGCGAAACACGTGCCGTATTATCGTCGATGGTGTGTCTTTCCTGAAATATTGGTGTTGGGAGTAGTGGTGCCGAGAGTAGTGGTGTTCGGATTAGTGATGACGGGATTGGTGCACGCAATTGAGGGTGGACGGGAGGTGCTCTTCAATCCAGGTAAGACACATCATTGTATTTAGTTAGCGGAAGGTTGCAAATTAATTAATATCTTTATTTTAATATTATTGCTACATCATGATGGTGATCAGCAAAAATAGTGTAAATGTATGTAAAAATAGTGTAAATTGTGTATTTTAAGTTTTTGTAGGTAGGTACTATAGCATATATATTAATTTCTTAACTCCATTTTATTTTACTAAATATCCTACGCCAATTGTTACTTTATCCTTCAATTGTAAAGTGTATCAACATACTTACTGCTCAGTTGTATTGTCTTTCTTGTTTATTAATTATAAGATTAAACAATACTTATTAAAAGTTAGAATTGCACGTAACTTAGATTTATCAGATTTTCTATAGATATTTACTTTTAATTAATGTTTTTATTTTTATTTTCATCATATGAAGAAACGTTTAATAAGACATCATAGTGATTAATGCTCATGTCCGTCACAGTTGTTCACGGCGAGCGCGAGTCATATCCAAGATGTGCGTTGCGTGCAGCCCGACTCGGGCTTCACGGAGCCGGCCAACAACAACATCAGCGAGGACAACAACAACGGGCCCATTTCGCTGCGGGAGATGCAGAATATCGCCAATAACAATGCCGCGGCGTACATCGTCAGCGAGAACGAAGAGCGCAACAGGATTAGCCGCGAGTCTGTCGTCGAGTTCGAGCCCCTGCCGGTCGGGCTGCGGGTAGTCGATCCGCTGGAGCGGTGTGCCGACTGGTTCGGTGAGTAGGTTATCTGTGGTAGTAATTACAATATTTTTTTTAACAATAATAATATCACCGTCGACATCTGTCGAGCTTGTAGCCAACCTGGTCTCATAGTCACTTAGGCATGTTATCTCCGGTTGGTCGACGCCTTCTTAATTCGAGTATTTGCAAGTACACACAACGTACTAAATATGATAATAAAGCAGGGATACTGCACCAACATCTCGACCTGAAATAAAGTCTGAAGTAAAGTAGTGCATAAAATATACAGCTAAATAGTATGCTACAATCAATGAACAGATGACAGATCATATGACAGATCACCAGCTCCCATCTACGAGCTAGTCAATATTCTAAGTAATATTAGGTGTAAAGTAGTACAAAAGCTTCTGTTACAAGTGGCAATTTTCTGCTTCATTATCCTCTCAGAAATGGGAAGTGCCTTGTGCCTAGCAACGGGATGTCTATAAGCTTTAAATATCATAGTATCGAATTGTTTCACATAGTTTAGTGAACTTCGGCACTACAATAATTAGCCATAAACCAAATAATTACTTATCATTTTTTTTTAAATTAATATAATAGCACGCACATCACGATAGACCAGCAAGTGGTCACAGTCGCCCATACATATGAACGTTCATTCCCATCACTTATATAAGATCATCATCATTTTTGTCACCTTTTGTTGTGTTTACGTGGTAGAGCCATGCTGCAGCTATATTATGGTTGTATCACGAATGGATCGGCTCAAACACAGGAGGATCACGCCCTACAGAATACCAGCAAAAATAGCAATAAAATAGCAGCTCAATGCTGCTGTGTTTTGTATGGTAAGTGTAAAGAACCGGAGACACTACTGGAAACGATGCATTCCTTAATCCTCAGGTGTGGCAATACATCTGCGTTTTGATTCTTAATCGAGGACATATGTAGATGTCTATGGGCCACAGCATCGGCTTATCATCAGGTGGATACTGCTCGCTTGTCACCCTTATTTTATAAAAAAAACCTCCGAAGACCTAGATGTCAAATAGCAGTGCTTGCAATATTGAGGTCTGAAGGTTACAGGGAGGCAGAATAGTTTCAAGCTGTGATGCATTCTAAGTTCTATGAGGTAACACCCCGCATTGTTAGGCGTCTTTATTTAAAGTTGGTTGCAGATGTCCATGGGCCCGTAGTTTACCACAATATGGACTGTAACTGTGTTCGTTCTTTACTTCATTTTTATGACAAAACAACTTAACGCTCCTATTCTTAAAAGCGAATGTCCTTATTACAGCGTAGTGATTTTTTAATATTATAGTTACCGGAATTTAATCATACTTTATCTCCTTACACGCAAGTACTAATATAAATTTTAACTTGTTCAATTCCCTAAAGTTAAACGCTTTAAAATCCATAAAATTAGTTTTATTCCACGTAATTTAAAGGTTTAGTTCAATTGGTAACTTAGAAGCAAAGAGATTCAAAGGTAAATAAGGCTAACTAACTAAAGGGTAACTTTGATCTATACATCAGTGGAATTATTTAGATTTAAATCGAAAAAACTTATTAAAATAGTTAGAACAAACTTCAGCGTATTCGGTATATTTTTTTGAAAATTATTTTCTTTTAGCCAAAGCCTTTTAAAAAGAATTATTACACGCGAATACGACTACTCGTGGTCTCATATCACACAACACGATACGACCGGTTACCTTTAGGTAATAATAAGTAATGGATTACGATTTTAACCGCTTTAACGGTAATGTCGTAAGATCTCCGAGGGGATTAACAGTAATTAAAGTTAATATATATTGTAAAATATAAATTTATACATATTTTGTGTATTTAAGTAGATTTATGTATTTTTTTACGTCTACTATATTAATATATTTATATATACATTTGTTCGATATATGTATAGAATAACTTATTTACCTACATATTCTGATTCATTCAAACTTCGTTATCTTTTTCATCTCATTATTAGTTTGTGATTGTTGCACTACCTCCTATATACTTATCTCTGCTTAGCCTAATGGTTGACTGGGAGTTTTTGTGTAATGTGTATAAAAGTTTAAATTAATAAATTAGATACAAAAATCTTTGTACGAGCTCCAATTTATCATTTTAATCTTATCTTATTGCTTATCATCTTCTTATTATTAAAGAAAAACATTTATATAACTACATACTGTTATCTCTAGAGTGAACAAGCAGATGCAACCAATACCGTCCTACTACAAAAAGTAATTTATTATCAGTCTCAGGTCAGGTCTCGAAACTAGAGTTTGTTACAATAAAATTTTCGCGAAAAGCATGCGAAACAACTAAAATTAAGTATAAAATGTGTTGCTGCTTATGTCAAATTTCGAGGAGACTGGCGCTGCGGCTAAGGAACTTCTCTCTTGACAAAGACTCGTCTTATAACTATACGTTTAAAAATTAGACCAAATGCTTGACATAGGTTAATATGTAGCATCCTTTTTGTAACGTTTGTGCTACGGTCTTTAGTCGCATTATCCCTTATTACATATTTTAATTAAAACATTCCGTTTTTAAATTACACATTGTGCCTGGTGGATGGTTAAGGTATTTTGACGACCAGAATATAATTCAACATATAAAATGTTGCATTTTGAGCAACAAATACAACACTTTGGATCGTATTTCTGGATACTTTCTTCGTTCATAATGTTTTCATAAATAACAGATTTTTAACTTTAGATATGTTCATTTCAAAAAGTACGTATGAGTTTCAGCCTTATACGTTCCTCTGCTAAGCACAAACTAAATATATTATATTAAACACTTCACATGTACTCACTAATATCTCAGACCTGCAGATTTCATTACGATGTTTACTCCATCGCTTAGCAAGAGGTAAATCTGTACTTAAAATATGCAATTAATAATTTCAGTGGTTCCGACGAGGATCGTAAACAGTTCCCTCGCGTATTACAATGAAAATTTAGGATTACTTCGCTTGAAGGGACGCCCTAGAAAAAAGTTTATCGACCAAATTGGCGATATTTTGAAAATGGGCCATGTTAGAAATACCCTTAACCGACGAGCATGTATGCGTAGATATATGGATGTAAAGGAGGCGAAAGAGGTGTGTCAGCATCATGCCAAATGGAAGTCCGCAGTCTCTGCCTACCCCTCTGGGTGACAGGCGTGAGTGTTTATGGTTACTTCGCTAGAAGTAGTTTCGTAAGTGCTAATTTGTCATCATCATGATTATATTTTTTTTCTTGTTTTTTTTTTTTAGTAGATATGTTTGACTGGAAAATATTGATATTAGCATAATCTCCTTTCTCATACGGAACGAATAATTTCTGAGGTGAGCCCTTATACACCGAGTTGTCACGGCTCTAAGATATGTATATTAGTAATATTAATTAGAAGTCCTTTAATATATAGAAAAAACGTTTTAAGGTTTCTACTTAAAACGCATGCGATATAACCGATCGGAAGATGAATTCGATGGCGTGTGCCAGAAATACGAGACCGACGACATCATACAATGTTAATTTCTTCTTCTTACTAGACACTTGCTCATTGTTAAAGGGATTTCCCAGCTGTCACGCATGGCAGACTGATTGGCCACTGCAGCACCAGACGTTTGGCATCTTTTTTGCCTCCCCGTCGCTGGTTGGTACATATTTTACGTGTGACGTAAACGGGATCGAAAATCATGAACTCTTTCTGGTACTTTCCTAAGTTACCTCACACAACGAAATGTTGATTTGATTATATCTTATTAACTTACTTCTTCAATATCCTTTCATTTCAGGTGACGAAGATTTTCCTAGGAACCAATTGCAGTATCTGCGCGAGATAGGAAGAGGATGGTTCGGAAGGGTAATGTACATATATTGAATTCAAACACACATCATCGTCATCATTACAGCCTGTCAACAGTCATCCGCTGAACATACGCATCTCCATAGATTTCCTCATAGGCATACGCCAACAACCACAAGTTAAATCATCCATCTTTGGTTTCACTAAAGACATGACCATTACATCATTCGTGACAAAGCAAAATAAAGCGATCATCTTAATCTCAACCATACATCATACACCCGATGTTGATAACACCTCAAAAAAAATTGGTTGACCCTGCAGGCCATCCCTGAAACTTCCCGTTAATTTCAAATGCAACGCGCTCCAAATTTCACAAAATTATATTGCGAAATCTCGAAGTTATGATAAAAAAAGTAATTTTTCAAATTCTTTCTCCTTCGATATCTCACGAACGAATGAACCCATTTTTATTTTCCGAACGGCATGCGACGTCATTTTTTGAGGTTAAGAGCTAACTAGCCTAGTTTTTGAAATCGATCGGTAAAGCCGTTTAAAAGTTATTCCAGTTATCAAAATTTTATTTTTGAGATTTCTCAAAATCTACTCGTCCGAATCAGTTCTTATTATCACCAAATCTATTCCACATTGAGATCTTTAGAACGCCGCAATCCTCATCGCAATCGATCAAGACTTTCAAAGGTAGTGAAAGGTTTTTTTTTCATTCCAGTAGCTAATAATAATATATCATGGTTATCCGCTACAAGGTAAGGATAACCATTGATATAGATAAAGAATAGGAATGGGCCAAGTTTTAAGCCCTGAGGGATACCAATTGATACTACTGACGCGGAAGAACTCGCCGTTGCGTTGATAACAATTTTTATAGTTCTATTACTGAAATATGAATTTCTAAGAGAAGAACTAATTAATTTAAGAGCAATATTTCTCATTGTTGTTTATTATGTAGAACATGGGTATATAATGTGTGTCAAATATCATACAAATGCTTTTAACGGTTTATGCTTAAGAGGGTTGTGAAGTGCCGATACGCAGCGCGAGTGGATATTTTCAAAAATGCTATAATATGTTTCATACCGTTTCATACTCCGTACCGCAGTATCATGCGATAGAGAGAGTAGCAAGTCTTGGAGGCAACTGCCCACATTTTGTTTTTTAATATTGTTTCGGTCGATAACGTTTTTACCCCCTAAACCTTTACGAAATGAGACAATTTTGGTCTAATTACATTTAGTACATCTAAATCAAGTTCTGTACGTTTTTCTTATTTAATTCAGTGGAGTTTAATTAAAAGAAATAGAAACGCTCCAGGAAGTTTATATAGATAGTAGATCCTAATAACTTAACGTACGCAATTATTCCTTTAAAATAAAAATGTACGGACTTAGTTTTCCATTATATCTACAAAATTGCAAAAAAAATTATGAAAATTCGACTAGTTTTAGGGGGGTGGGGGAGAACGTTATCGCTTTTTGTATGAAAATTTACAGATTTACAATCCTTTCAATTGAGTCCAATAAATTCTCGGCTGGCACATTTTCGGAAAGACTTACGTGCGTACATCGTAGGCTGTTCATCATTTGAGCTACCTCATCTTCTTCAATATGTATTTATTAGCAAGTTGGTCGAGTCCAATATTTCCATAAGTGATTGTATTAATATTTCATAAGTATTCACAACAACAGTTGATACTTGCATGGTGTTAAGCTGGGCTTGTTTATCCTCATACCTATTATTTTCACATTCAATATCAGATGTGTTGTACTGCGGCATCGAAAATTAGTTTCAACTCAGCGTTAGCTAAGAACAGACCACATTGCTGATTTTTAATGCAGCCAACTTTGTGTGACGCACGTCCACCAAAACAGTTTTCATTTGTACAATGTATTAATATAGGTACATCATCATGCGCAATCATGTAATACAACCAAGGCGCAACAGGTTACGAGATGAATCATTTGTTACCTTGTTGGTAACTACACCTGCATACTAGTTTTAATGCATACATATATTTGTTTTATTTGTTAGCGTTCATTTATCTTCTGTCTTTCGAAGTTTTATTCAAAATCATAGTAAATAGCAGCTCAAGGCTGCTGTGTTTCGTATGGTGAGTTTGGAAAACCGGAGACCCTTTTTACTGGAAATGAGACATTAAAGAATACCTATGCTTCTTTTAGAAGTTTTTCTTACCTTCTTTATTTTCTTAACTTGATTAATTGATTTTCAGTAAAATTAGATAATCGTTATTTAAGAGGTTTCCTGTCCCATTAACTTGTAATCTATAGTGGATAAAAGATATTCTAATCAATTAATGAATCACGTAATAATATGTGAAATTCGGAAGCAATTTCATGTGTTTTTGCTTATCGATGTGGTGTGATAAATACAATTTATGGCTAAGGGACGTTTGTCTAATTTGAAAATTGTAAAAGTTTTTAATAGGTGAGAAAAATAAATGAAACAATATTGAATATTTTAATTTTTCTTCATTACTCTGAATAACCTAATTAGAAACTAAACATATCGAGAAGAAATATTTATCATTGTTGCTAGAACTTTGATGCATCTTATTGTAAAATGTTGAACAGTGACATTTACTACATTTCTAAATACTTTGTACTGACTTCTTCCGTATACCATCTGAATATTAATTATAAAGAGTACCTTCTCTGTCCGCATGTAAGGATATTTGTTGAATTGAGAAAATGTATTCTCGTTGGAAATTCCTTCTTCTTCTATCACCAGCCCGTAAAAGATTATTACTGTTTCAAAATTGTCAGACGGATTGACGCAGATCCAAACGATGTACAGTAGATAGTTATACCGCCATCTATTGGAAGTCATACGAGTTTTCTTGTAGTCGCGTTTAGCGACTACGTTTAAGTTTAAACGTGGTAGAGCTATGCCGCAACTATGTTATAGTTGTAACACGAATGGGTCGGCTCGACTGGGGTATAACCACAGTCTCACAGAATACCAGCGCAAAATAGCACCGTAATGCTGCTGTGTTTCGTATGGTGAGTGTAGAGATCCGGAGAACCTTTTTTACTAGAGACGAGGTATTCCATCATTGTCCTCAAAGGTGACAATGCATCTGCATTTTGATTTGTAATCGAGGATGGATAGATGTCTATGGGCCACAGCATCAACTTACCATCAGGTAGACTGTGTGCTCGTTTGTCACCCTTATTCTATAAAAAAAAACACAGAACACACACAGAGTGATAGATTCTCGTACACTGCCACCACACTATTTTGAACTTCTAACAAGCTTGATTTTTCTTAACCAACTTTATTTGTTACAGGTGGTAGAGGGAGAGTTAGAAGGGAACACTTCCGGCACGGTCGCCGTAAAGATACTTAACCAGAATGCCAATTTAGAGGAAAAGGCGCGATTTCTGGACGAGGCCAAGATATACCGGGATGCGAGACACGAAAATATTCTCGCATACGTAGCCAAGTGTCTACAGGAGGATCCATGGATTTTGCTGTTCGAGCTGTGCTCTATGGTGAGAATTTGTTTTGTTTATTTAGCAACACCAATTTCCTATACCACAAAACATTTTGTGATAGTTATGTTATTAATAATATTAGAGTGACAAAAGTGCTAATATCCTTGGTTCTTTTAATGTCCAATCGAATCACAACAGTGTTGTATTGTTGTTTGGAGCTAGAAATAGGCAAGGGGGTCACACACACACCGACTGGAAACTAAAAAGGATGTTACAAAACCCATGTATATTTATAATATCTTTTTATAAACCTGAACTAGCAAACGAACTTATGGTACTGATGGTAAGTGACCACGGTAGTCAATAAACACGTGCGGGCAACTTCAAACAAAAAAGGATAACTGATGCCCTATCACCTGTGGTAACTAAGATGAAATTAATGACAGTCTGTAATTATATATTTGTTACCCTTTTCACTTTCCGGAAACGGCCCCGCAACATCAAGGGTTACCCTCTCCCATGGTACACCAACATTGTACTATTTCCTCTACTACGAATCTTAGGTCACCGACACCACTGAGGGTTTACGACACCAATCCTCGACATCTTCACGACAGTGGACCCAGTTCCCCCGTTCTCGAATCTTCAGTTGAGTTCGTTTAGCTCCCAGATGGCCTCCTAAACCACCATTATGGTACAGCTGTAGAATATCCGGTACTTTAGCTTTAGGGACAACCATTTGCAAACTGGTTGCATACCCTTTAGACCGGAACACAGCAATCCAAACACTGCTATTTGTAAGAGAGAAATAGGTAAGAGGTTGGTACCACATAACACTAGGAAAATAACTAAATTAAACCAAAGAGTGGTTATATCTGCATAAACCATTAACCAATTTAAGAACGGATTGCATAGACAACTAAAATAGAACAACTACACATTTGAAACTAGGATACACGCTTTTATCAGTGGTTTGAAGTGCTGGCCGGTTAAATAATAATAAATAAATAAAAATATATAAACCAATCTACCTATTTCATCATTGGCGAGAACAAATCTTTCCTACGATATATGCTGCGGAACTAAGCCTGCTACCTTTGATGTTGTTTCCATTTCCCATGGGAAATGTAAACAACATCAAAGGGGAGTGTTAATCTAGCATAATAAAGAAATGGTTATAGGTACCGCTCGCTATCTATCGGAAGCCCTTAGATCTTTGTAGCATTTTCTATAGTCGCCTCTTACGACACCGACGGGACGAAATAGTGTAGTAGTAGTATTATTACACCGTCACTACACGATTTTGTTTATCCATTCACTTACACTCTGTTTTATTCATTCATTCATACATTGGTCACAACCTACTAACCATCAAAACTCTTCTGCTGAAATTCGATCTCCGCCATATTTTTTTCTCACAGGGATTTCCCCTTGATATAGGTGGCATTGGTAATATAGCAGTATTTTTTATTATTTTGAATTATTGATAATCGTCGACGAGTGATGATGATATTTGTCCAGGCATAAATTGCAAGACTACTCGCGTATCATAAAAATTCTAACGAGATTATGGAAAACTCGCAAAGTTCGACAAAATTTCTCCAATCCGCTCTCCTTGAAATACGATATCGATTACTCCACTGCGCCGTTACATTTCTCACAGCTCTAACAAAATATCGCGTTACAAATCGCTTACATAACGCTCATAAAATCGTATCATACGAAATCAAACCATACACGTGACCGTCACCGCTACGGATACGGAGTTATACCCTCCAATTACTTCGTATAGCCGACACGTGGCCGCACTCGGAACTGACGACCGTGGTGACCGTGCGTGGAATACATAATAAGTCTACACGTTTATCGTTTATCAATGGAACTGTATTTATGAATCATATTCTAATTTTTTTTTAATCTCGTAATATAAATGTTACGTATTGTATCGTCCACATTCTACATTAGAGATTTTAGGTATTTTTAATTATGGCATAGACGAGTTGATTATTTTGCAAAATATCAATTGAAATAATGTTTGGGTGTAATCGAAATTAAATCTTTTAGTTGTTTTAAGATTATTATTGTTTGTAAATTGTTTAATTTCTCGTAAACGATTTATGTAATCTTTTGTGAAATAAATAACGTCTTAAATCTAAAAAAAATTGCATGAAAATATCAGTAAATGATGTTATCTTTTCTTGAAGTCAAATGAATATTATATTTGTATATTTTTTAATATTAAAAAAACACTTAATAAAAGTAAAAGCCAACTTCAAAGAACGTGACTGGAAAGTGGTGAGGCAATGTGTAAAGGAGAATCAAAGTTATGAAGTTCAGAACACATTACGTAGAATTTATCTTATTCTTTCGAGTGAACTGAGAATTATTCCGAGCTCAAGATTACAACTAGAATGTAATATAAATAATTACATTTACAATTCATCCCCTGTTTACCCATTGTTAGGTGTAGTTTTTTTTTTCAAATATACTAATATGAAACTACCCCTAAAGTGTAAATTTTTAATAAAAAAGAATAATTAAAATCGGTTCGCAATTGTTGAGGATATCGCATAACATACAAAGAAAACGTACGTACAGTCGAATTGAGAATCTCCTACATTTCGAAGTTGACTAAAAATAAATATACGTGAAACGAACAATTGATTCAGTTTCGAGATACGAACAATAGCAAGTTTAAATAATAATATAATGATGTCTAGTTACCGTTGCCATTACAGCCTATTATAGTCCACTGCTGGACATAGGCCTCCCCCATATATTGCCTCATAGGGGGGATATTTGCCATAGTTGCCACGCTCATGATGGGCGAGTGGATTTTTACGGCCACCACATAGCGACTTTTTTTCACTTTCACTTGTTCGTCACTTGTTTGTCGTTCTCTTCGTTCCATATAATACAATGTTTCAAATAAATACAAATTTAATATTACTTTATGGACAACTTTTCTGGTTAAATTTTTACTTAATATTATAACAATACTAGACAGCATTGCTGCCACGCTTGGCAGGCGCGTTGGCAAGTTTATTTATTTATATTTTTTAGTACCTAGTTATTAGGAAGATGATGGTGCCCATCTCCTGGTTCGTTTCCTTATGTCGACTTACTACAGCCATATGTTCTTACACCACTATTACATGTTTGCCATCTTGTATATGCTTGATGGAAAATACTAAAACGCGCTAGATATCTGAGCCTACGATCAAAATTTGTTTACAGCATATAAAGTCATTTATTTCTCAAAACTAATACAACATTCATGTATTTGAGAAACATAAATTGTTATAAACTTATATATTTTACCCCCTGAACGTAAATAATATGTATGAGTAAGAGATTATAATTTTTACACTTACATACTATAATCTATTAAATAACAAGTTTGATAAGAGTAGCGATAACGACAAATCCCTCTTACAATTATAGAAGCCCAGCCATCAACTGTAATGTGTTGATAATGAATGAGATGAATATCATATACACCTGATCTCAATGAATCATGTTGTGTCATAAATGGTAGACATGAAATATTTATATAGGTGATTGGAACTCGTATCTATGGTACAAAATTCATTTCACTATGAAAATTACAATTCCTTTGTAAAAACTTAATTAAGGATAGATGTTCATGATCAGATATGGACTGTGGATCGTCTTTAGACAAATATAGTTTTAACTTGTATTATGTCGAATTGCAGGACTTACAACAGTACCTGATACTAAACCGTCCCAAGATGGCGATACTCAATGAGAGCGGCGTGCCATTACAGCTCATGTGTGACGTCACGTCCGCACTTGCCTATCTGCACTCGCGGGGAATTTTGTATGGGTATGTTTTTTTTTCTTTCTTTTTAAATATAAAACTGAAGTGGCAAACGAACCTGATGGTAAGTGGTGATTGCAGTCAATGGACACCTACAGCAAACTTCAAACAAGAAGGGATTCAGATGTTGTCACTTCTGAGGACTAAGATGGTATGCCACACCAGCATGTAGTTGTACTGTACTGTACTGGCTCACTATGTCTTTCGTCGTTAACAGGCGGCAGAAGTAGTTGTGAGAACCACAGATAAATAAAAATACCATCTCTGTACGTCATACTTTTTAATGTAGACCAAGAAAGTACCAAAACATATAAATGTTGAAGAAGAAACGCAGCCTTATTGCTACTCAACAATGTCTTGTAGAAACCCCGAAAGAGCATTAAATACAGGGGAGAAAAGTTTACGGATAGCATAGGATGCATTTAAAGAATAGATTATTATTGCAAGTCATTTCGTACTTTTATCATTAGTTCGGAAGGGCCTCTGTCTTGGCAAGAACCATAAAGAAACCTAGCGAGAGTAAAATGTTAATAACTTATGCACTAAAAAGAATGGTTACAAACTAGCGGTTGCCTATAGTCAACCAAATCTAAGAAATACCTTTTGACGTATCTCATTAATCATTCCGCAATAACTTTGTGCAAATGTACTCAAACGATTTAAAATAACCTTTTACATAAATTCCAATAATTATAAAGTACAAAATATTCCATTACAACATGTATAGTTCTTTATCGCTTATTTAAGTTTGAAACATTCAAAACAACCAAAATATTAAAAAATAACCTACGGTCAACTTTTTTGCCCGACGTTGTTTCAACGATATGTCGCTATGTACCTTTAAATAATTTAATTTTTTGTTTGATTATTCAAATTTTTATTTTTAAAATTGCTTAAGTTATATGAATCATAAATTTAATATTTTTTATAATTTTCTACTTCGTCAGCGTAAATTTGTGCAGGCAGAAAAAACTCTAATCTAAGAGCGCGCTGAAAAAACACTACGTAATTCCAATCTCCCGCCATTTTGGAAGCTTTCTGTGCGTGCTTTTGTAATTTTGTGTTTGTATTCTTATTTTGTGACTGGGACGATAACTTTTTGGACAGATTCTTCTATACTCGTTGACCTTAGGTCAGATTCGTACATTAGTGGTAAAATTACACGAATGTTTTGAACGTGAGTCACAAACCGGTGGGCCCCTTTTTCACAGTGACACAAGTGCCGAAGCGTGTCGGTGAAGCACTCGGAATTGACAAATGCACCATTGCTAAGATCGTCACAAAAAATACGATCTTTCAGGCAGTGAGAATAATTTACTTCATAGGACAAAAAAACGAAGAAATAATAAATCAGTAACAGGTATAAATCAATTCAACACAGATGCTATTAGAAACCATGTCCACGGCTATTTCACATGGAGCTAATGCCTACTGCGGCGAAGTTGCAAAACAGTTTAGTAGATGCCGGATTGTACAATGGTAGTAAAGAGTTATTGAGAACCATTTTAAACCACATGGGCTTCCGATACAAAAACATTGATAATCGCAAAATAATGATTTCTTAAATTTACGCGAACACTACACATTGAATAAAACTATTATTTACGGATTTTATCGCGTTTAATTACTTTAATTTATTTTTATTATTATCCCGACGTTTCGGGTGCTTTACAGCGCCCATGGTCACGGGGGGACTGAGATGTTTGACGTCCCAATGTCATAGTTAGTCCGGCTACCTATGACATTGCTACCTATAATATTAAAAACTGAAGGTAGCCGGACTAACTATGACATTGGGACGTCAAACATCTCAGTCCCCCCCCGTGACCATGGGCGCTGTAAAGCACCCGAAACGTCGGGATAATAATAAAAATAAATTAAAGTAATTAAACGCGATAAAATCCGTAAATAATAGTTTTATTCAATCGCAAAATAATTATGGAGAGGCATGACAAAAAAAAACACAACTTTTTAAAGATAAATGAAAAATATGACCAATTGGGACAACTTAATATTCATTGATGAAGCGGGGTAAAACGCCATCCACGCTGTACCGAAGATATGGACAGACGACCCTGTAGCATCTTGCTCGAAGATGCTTTGAGAAAAGGTGGGCGCCTCATAACTTTCCACGACCATGCTCTATCTTCCGGAAGAGGATTTGGAGCAAATTGTTTATTAGCTTTCCAATCAAAGATTACAAGAGACCAAAATTCAATGATAAACCCTTTTGCAAAATAATACTAACCATTCTGTTCAAATCGACATAGCGTCAACCCAAGTGTATGAGAAAGCAGATGTAGTAGTATGACTGCAACACAAAAAAGAGGAAGCGTACATGAAATTAGTAAAAGCCGAGCTAATACAATTGGTAAGGTGAAATAAACCACGTAAACCTTTTTAAGACTACCACCATACCACTGCCAATACAATGGTATTGAATTGATTTGGGCCCGAATCAAAGGCTAGTTCTTAAATTAAATCTTTTAAATGCAAACATATTAACTCTACCTAAACACACATGAGATTAAAATATCTCATACTTTTACATGCTACGCAACATGAAACAACACCAAGCCATCTTTCACGGTGAAGAAAATGGAAGGTTTGTTGAAGGAATTCCATGTCACAAAGGATGATTGGGTAAATATTTGAAATGAAATTTTATTCATTTCATTTATTTCATTTCATTTTAAAAGTACTGAAGAAAACAAAGAAAATTATTATGTATGTCTTTGAAAGAGACTTTCATTTTGATTTTTTATCATTATGATATTTCATTATCGAAAATCAAGTAATAATTAATCTTAACAACGACAGCTCAAGTAGTTGTAGTGATAGTGATTGAATATTTTTTTATATACTTTCAGTCTTAAATTTTTATATCTTTGCCTTTAGAAATAAGCAGTAACAATAAATACGAAGAAACTTATAAATTTTGTGTTTTAAATTACCCGTTTCTAATTTATTCTGGTACTAATCGAAACAAAACTGTAAATGATTACCAACTCTAAAGAATCGGTATCGATTTTTCTTTCGAATATTGTACGTACCGATTTTTGGTAGGCATGCTTAGTCCAATAAGTCTGACAGCTGTCAAAAGGTATTTCTTAGATTTGGTTGACTATAGTAGTCATTTGTTAAATTTTTAATATTGTATATTTAGTAAGCTGTTCACTTTGGTTTTACGTGGTAGAGCCATGTTGCAGCTATATTAGTAGTATAGTTATAGCACGAATGGGTCGGCTCGACTGGGGTAGGACCACGCTCTCACAGAATACCAGCGTAAATTAGCAACTTATTGCTACTGTGTTTTATATGGTGAGTGTAGAGAACCGGAGACCCTTTTTACTGGAAAAGAGGCATTCCATCTTAGCCCTCTCGGGTGACAACGCATCTGCATTTTGATTCGTAATCGAGGGTAGATGTATATCTATGAGCTACAGTATCTACTTACCATCAGATGCACTGTGTGGTCGTTTGTCATCCTTATCCTATAAAAAAATTGCACATTAAACCCTAGATATATACAAAATATAAAATAAAAGCTTATTTACCTTCTTGACACTCCACAAACTATTAAAAAAGGAACATTTTAAATTACACAAAACAAAGTAGTTATCATTTGTTAGCAACATTTTAAAATTCTTTGACTACAATGTTTACTCTTTACTACTGTTGGACCACAGACTAATAGATATTTGATATTAACAGAATGAACATATTCAATGAATGTTTTTTTATTTGTAATACATATACCTACATAAATGTTTTTTTTTGCATTCTCTTTATTATGATACTTTATTATATCAAATTTCACACATTTCCGTGTGTGCTCTATGCTCAAAAAGGGTCTACAATAGAATAAAACTAATTTTACGTACTTTATCAAGTAAAATTTTAACTTTTTTAATTCCCGAAGTTTGGGTGTTTAATAGCACCTATGGTCACGGGGAAGGTCGCCTGAGGTGTTTGTTGTTTGATGTTTGACGAAGGCTACCCTCAACTTTTGTTTTGACGGCCTCGTGGTGCAGTGGCTTAGCAATGAGTTACAGCGCTAAGGTCCGCGGTTTCGAATCCCGCACGGAACAAATATTTGTAAGGCCTACAATTAATTGTTCCGGGTCTGGATGTTTGTCCTTGTGAAATTTATGTTTGTAACTGCCCTCACGATACAGGAGAAAATCCTAGTGTGGAGGTAACGTTTTTTAAAAAAGAAAAAAGAAAAGAAAAAAAAGCTTTTAATTAATGATTATGTTGTAAGTGCCTGGAACGTTGGGAATTAAAAAGGTTAAATCTAAATGCAATAAAATCCGTAAAATTAGTTTTATTCCATGTGTAGTATTCGCATCAATGTAAGAAATTGTTCCACCATCGGATAACGCTTTCGAATCAAAGTGTTTGCTATATCGTTCGTCATGCGTACAGCAAAGGAGTGGAATAAGTAGTCAGCGTCTGTCTTACCATCCAATTACAGTGTGGGTGTCTTCACGGCAAGAGTAAATAGGCTTTTGTTTAGTCAGTGCGTTTCACCATCTTAGGATGCATTATCAGTTACCATCAGGTGCGGTTATAGTTTTTTTATAGAATAAGGATGACAGACGAGCACACAGTCCGTGGTAAGTGGTCGCTGCGGCCCGCAGACTTCTACACATATCCTCGATTACTAATCAAAATGCGTATGCGTTGTCACCCGTGAGCACTAAGATGGAATGCTTCGTTTCCAGTAAAATACGTGTCTGGTTCTCTACGCTCACTATACGAAACAGCAGCGTTAAACTGCTATATGACGCTGGTATTCTGTGAGAGCGTGGTCCTTCCGTGGTCGAACCGACTCATATAACTATACTACTAATATAGTTGCTGCATGACTCTACCAAAAATATAAAGAGAATGTATACAACACGTAACATAATTAACGCACTTTGAGAAAGTAGTTTGTTCAGAATCATTTACTGAATCAATTCCTATCATTTTTAATATAGGTAATTTTTATCCCAAAAATAATTAAAACTACGTAAATTACAGTCACACTAAATGTGTACAGTCAAAACAAACTGAAATGGACCGTAACTTAAGGCAATAAGACTTTTAACAGTGCAGTTTTATTTGTATTATTACTAATTCTGTCATTCAATAAAAATAAGCACGTTAAAGTCTTTGCGTTCGTGAATTCGTACTGTGACCACAATATTCTTCCGGAATTAGTATAACTAATTTGGTAAATAATCAGTGCATAAAAATGTTTAACTAAAAATTCAGTGTTTGTATTATGATTATAACATAATATACTAATTGGGGTGTCTCGAGGATGTGCGTAAATTACGTTACATGTTGTATATAATTGTGTACAGTTTTCGTTCCTGTATTAATATATAGATGTGTTGCAGCGAGGTGTGGAGCGACGCAGTGCTAGTGCGCGGCAGTGAGGCGAGTGCGCGCGCGGTGCTGGGCCGCTACGTGCCGGCCGAGCGCGCCGCCACACACGCCGCGCCCGAGGCCCGCCGCCAGCCCCCAGAACACACGGTCACTTGGCTAACGCACTCGCTTTTCTAATTACTTATTAAGATTTTTGGCTTGGATGCTTGTCCTTTAAGCCATATCTTCATTTAATTCGGGATCTATTCGTTTTTATATATTTTGTTCACAATATTGTGATGCGTTACATTGCGAAATTTTAGGGAGATTTTGACGATAGCTTAACCCAGCGGACAGTCGATGAAGACAGTCACTCAAGTACATAAGGAGCCTAAGCGATCTCTAACTTAACGTTTATATCAACATTGAACTTCCTCTAGTAGTTTACATGCACAGACACTTAATACACAAAATCTCATCACTTTTACATACGAACATCCACCTCAGCAGCAATCTGTCGACGGTCAAGATTTCGCCATAACTCTTAACTCACTCACACAACATGTGCTATCTACCCAAACGTAAAGTCTGGTAACTAAAATAGTTTTAATACAACTGGGTGCACTTATTATTTTATTTTATTATTTTCTACTGTTTGTTTAAGGTGGATGCGTCGACCGTCCGCCCATACATTTTTTAATCAAAATATACACTAAACACAGACACTCTTTCTTTAAAACTAATCATTTTATCACTTCTCTACAATGAAATGTGTACGCGTCTGACATTTATAGGCAATAACTTACATTATATACTGAGGAAAACAATAGTGAAATCCCGGAAATATTTGACACTTCTTTAGTAGTGTGTGTGACTTTTGACAAGCAAACGAAAGGCTACGTTTAAACATTGATACGCTAGATGGCATCCAAGTGATCTTAAATAATTCTGATAAATCAATATCTTAAGTTCAATAGTTGGTTAATTTCCTTTCCAACCGTTAAAAAAACAGTATAAAATAACATAAAACTAATGACCTTAGACACCTATGTTTTTTTGTAAACAATTTTATTACTTATTATCGTTGTGTGGCAACATAAATACCAAAAGTCGTAGGTAAAGCGACGTTGCCGTCCTTCCTGACAACAAACTGATAAGAGTACTAACCGTAGACAGAGAAGTCTACGGTACCTAACGTATTCCTGACCTTGAATTGACGAAACAAAAGCGTTGCCAAACTTACGTACGTTCACTTGTTTGACTTGTATAAAATATAATATTCTGATTTCGGTTGTCACGCAGCGCGCGGAATTTCTTGTGTATTATACATATTTTGTATGTATGTTTTCGTTGATTCGAATTGCAATATTTCTCTAGTATATATTTGAGACTGTGGCCGTGGTAGGAAAAGGGGAGATCTCCCGCCGGGCAAGGTGTTGTGCCCGGGGAGCGGCCGACACTCCATGTGATAGTTCGGAGATGTTCTATATATACTGTTTCTGATTCGGAATGTTGATAGCGTGATTTAGACTTCGGTGTATTTCGATTGTGGCGCGACGACAGCGCCGCTACATCACCCCCCTGCTCAGACCGGAGGTCGATAGTGCAGTCGAGTTGTCGACGAATGTGCAAGTGCCAGGAGATTGCCTTGTAGTCTGCGGTGAGTCGAGAAGAAGGCAAGTAATCTGCGAGAGTGCCGTGAAGCAGAGGCGAGCATTAAGGCTCAGAGCCGTGCCGAACACTGTATGGCGCAGAGAGTAGCTTGAAGGAACAGGAAGCATTATTATTCCAGTGCTGCGATGAACCTTGTGAAGCTAGATGGCTTGCAGGTTATGAAGACTGCAGACGATATCTGCTCGGGAGCGAATGGGTGGGGTATTCTATGACGATGATGAAGCTTGAAGTTTTCGAAGGTTGTTTGGTTGCGTGTTCAGATCACGTCGGATGGTCACCACTGTGGCCGTAGATGGAAAAGGGGAGATCTCCCGCCGGGCAAGGTGTTGTGCCCGGGGAGCGGCCGACACTCCAAGTGATAGTTCGGAGATGTTCTATATATACTGTTTCTGATTCGGAATGTTGATAGCGTGATTTAGACTTCGGTGTATTTCGATTGTGGCGCGACGACAGCGCCGCTACAAGACTATATTGTAATTTATCATAGGTATGGTAATTAATTATTCTAAAAACGCAATTATGTTTTCGGTAGTATTATTAACAGCAGGCTGGCCCGTGATTTTTCTGAAATATCGTCACAATACTGATTACCTACGTCATACGTGTCAGTGTTTCATATATGAATGTGTTTGAATATGTTTTTGGTCAACAATAAATACAATTATTATAAATCGGTAAACTACCAAAGTAGTGACAAAATTAAACTTGCAAACATTTGCCGAATATGGTTTTGCCGGGTTACATTAAACACCCTTTACGCATTTTGAAAACAGTTTCAGACAGACACACATTATTAGTTTGTTATATTTTGTAGAGCTCAAGTTCACTCGTTACTACGTCATACCTTATGGTGCGTTCAGAAACAAATATAATTCAGTTACATAAAATCCTTTTTTTCTGTTCCGTGCTTTATTGTTTATAAATAAATAGCTTATTCTAATCTGATTCGTCGGCCAATTCTACCAGGAATATAAAGATAATATTGAAATAAAAAGATAAGTAAATTTTTGTACATTTTATTGTTCTAGATCTTGTATTCCGAACGCAACCCTATTCATATAGAATTGAAGGAAGATTTGTATATATTATATTGTATAGTACCTGGATGACCGAGCAGTAATCGTGTGTTTTGGAAGTTATATTTAGATTAAAAATACATACTGATAAAATATGAAGAATATTTTTTGATCTTACCGGCATAATAGAAAAAAAAAGACTGAATTGGTTATTAAAATGAAAAAGCATGAGTGCAATAGAATTTTCGTATTTTTAAAAAAATACTACAAAAAGGGCTCGAAATAATAGATTTTCTCACAAAAGAAGGGAACTTGAAAAAAAAAGGGAAAAAAGTCAATCCTAAGACAAGACGCGAACCAGGGAACTACGATTTCGCGACAGTGCGTTATCCACTTGAGCTATTACGATCATTATTATAGTGTTAAAATTTACCTTCTTATATTGTAGCAGTGAAAGTAGATATATGTAGAAGAAAGTATATATATGTATATATGAAAGAATTGCTCGTAGGTATAGGATTTATATTTTTGTTTTACTAAAAGCTTTTGTTGAGTGCTTCGAAATTAGGAAATATTATTTTCAGACATCCTGGTTATTATCACAAAATAAATTATGTTATAGATTTGTTGTTATCTCTTGTTTATGAATTATAGTTTCTTACGTGTTGGTTATGAAATGTCTTATTATTGTAATAATTGGTACTGTTACAAATCATCAGTGTTATTAGTTTTGAGTGAATAGGCATGTATCAGTATAATTATGTTGCTTCAAATAGGTACTTCTGTTTTGATAAAAAAATCAATAGTGTAATGTAATAAAATAAAACTGCGTTATATTGTAATCAATGTTGACATAATTTATTTCCCAAAGTTATAAATCAATTAAATAGTTTACGCCAACAAATATAAATTTTATTTTTATAACAATCGTACATAGCGTTTTGTAGTTCTGCCTACCCAATCTGCACAAACACAAAAATTAAAAACTTGTTTTTTTACATACACGCCATCTAGTGTTCTAGCTTCGTAAACGTAGGGATACGTCTGTGTGTGTAAACGACACTATATTCAATGACAGATGTTATAATCAAACTTAATGTCGAATTGGGTGGATTTTGAGGCAATGATATGACCCATTCCAATAAAATGTAATATCCGATAACCGCTAATTCTACTCCTACGACTTAATAATTTTCCAATTACACAAAAATCCAAATAAACTAAAAATGTTGACTTCATCTTGCGGGAGAATGGCTGGGAACAGTCCGTAGGTTTCACCTTAATAAATGTTTTCCTATTCTAAGAATAAAATACGAATATAAATAATAAACACAAGTTAGGTAACAAATAACCTTTCACTACGGCGCTTCGTTTTTAAATGCCAAATTCTTCTGCGGGTGTATGCCGCACGCGGCGACCTGTCACGGTGGAGCTCAAGTCGGCGCGGCACAGAGGTTACCAAGGGTATCTTCCAAAAAGTTTTCAGTATACTGCCGAATACAAATAACGTCATCAATTGACACTATATTGTACTGGCGTGCCGCCGCAATATTGCGTCGGATATCCGGCCATCATGAAACAATTTTTAATTGTGTGTGCGCTGAGTGAAGCATGCCAGAATTTGTTTTTATTTATTCAAATACAAATATTATGGAATAATTGCTGGTATCTCCATTAGGAGGATATAATGATATTTGGAGCATAAAATAATAAAATAATCGCCAACACTTTTCCAATATGGAGCAAATGTATGACGTCATATACTGTCCTATGTTTTGGAACGAATCACCAGTATAGCGTCAATTCATGACGTAATTTGCATTGGACAGTACACTGGGTTCTATTTTGGAACATACCCCATATCTATGCAAACAGGCTACAGTCATAGGCAGAAAAGGAGTCGAATGAAATCAAAACATATAAATAACGAATTCCGGGAACGACAGCTTAATTCAGCAGTGTGTACTACTTCGATTGTATCCCACGGCGCCGCTTGAACGTACAGTTTTTAGTATTAATATGCGAAATTACTCTACAAATTTACTTCATAAATATCACTTAAAACTATTATATGAATGAATAACAGAAGGACAGCTTGCAATCATGTTTCCGTAACTCACGAGTATGTGTGCATATAACATATTTATGTAATAGCATGAATCTACGTGTTTTATCCCTAATTCAGTTCAGAAGAGACACCTACGAGACTGACAAAAGAGTCTCCTGGCTGTGGCGCACAGTCTTCGCGAAATTTTATACCAAACCTATTTTTTTGTAATAAAAGTGAATTTGTCTCAGATTTAATCTAAAATCAAAAAAGAAGTCCAGTTAAAAATATAATTGGAATTTTAAATGTCAGATTTTGCGAAGACTGGCCTCTCTTCCAAGCAACTTCATTAATGAAAAAGACACTTCTTAAACACACATACACATTCAGCAATTTCAACACATTCAACAACACAGTTTGAACGTTAGACTATCAATAATAATAATAATGATGGTGATTAGTGATATTTAAAAAGCAAAAAAATTTTTCTTTGAAGCAGGTTAAATAATATTTATAATTGAAATTTTAGGTTAGTGCTCAACGGCAATTTTATTTTTCAGAGCAAGAGTGAGGTGTGGTCCCTGGGCACTTTAATCTGGGAAATCTGTGCGTGGGGCTCGCAGCCGCCCAGTCCGCCTCCGCCATTGCCTGACTTGCCTTGTCCCTATCGCACACATTTGTAAGTAACCATACACTTTGTCATAAACAAATTTGCTCGTATTTCCACGTATTTATTACAAGATCTTATTCACATTTGATTTGATTTGTTTAATTGGTTCATTTATCATAACATACATTTGTTGTCGCTGAGAATGCTACAATTTATTTTTCTTTATATTTTTTTAAATCAACGTTACACAAATAATGAACAAGAGCTGCATTATGGTGATGCTATTGGGTATGGTAGTGAATGGTAAAATTTATTTTCTATAGAACAAGCGTGACAAATGAGCACACAGTCGTCTAAAGGTAGGTGGATGCTGTGGCCCATATTACATTTACCCTCTATTAAAAATTGAAAATGCAGATGCGTAGTCACCCCTGAGGACTAAGATAGAATGCCTCCTTTCCAGTAAAAAGGGTCTCCAGTTCTCTACACTCACCATATGAAACAGCAGCATTGATCTGTTATTCTGTGAGAGCGTGGTCCCGGCCTGGTCGAGCCCACCCATTCGTGGCACAACCGTAATGTAGCTGCAGCGTGGCTCTACCTCGTATAAAATGCAGGAAATGACAGCAGCGCCTAAATAAATTAAACTCCTGTTTCTAACTCGCTTGTCATGATGACGTCTATGACAAATATCCCACCCTATGAAGCAATCGATATTCTATTTTTCCACCCTAAGAGATGGAATTGAAGTCGGCTAAAAATGGCTATTCATATTCATATTTACTAAAATTGACTGTCGTTATACTATTTTTATTGTTATTTCTGAAACTGTAATTCATTCGTTTTCTTTTAGATATCAAGTTATGCAATTATGTTGGAACCCGAACCCCGATGGTAGACCTTCGGCGGCTCAAGTTCACGCCTTGCTGAATCATCTGCACAGCACACATATTCACAGCGAAACTGCGCAAGACGACGGTTATGGAAGCAGCGATTTTGAGGAGCGATGGCAAAGACTCAAGCCGAATACGATTCCTAAAATAGACGAACATGTAGCTATAGTACACGCACCGTCCACGTCGATGACGTCACATTTTACAGGATCCGACCAAGAGTTTGACAGCGCCCCCACTATGCAGGATACGCTCAGCGTTGATTTAGACACGGCTGTCTCCCGATCTAGTAGTATAATGTCTGATAAAGACTCACTACCTATTCAAATGAAATCCGAAAGCCTGAATAATCTACATGGGTCGTTAGATGATGTTAGAAACATATATCTAACGCATAACGAAACTGCTGCAATCGAATGCCATCAAGGAAACGTAAACCTCGATGATAATAAAGATAAAGATAATGATCATTCAGACAGTTCGATGGATCCGTGGTTGAAGGATATTATCACAGGAAGCCAAGATGATGTTAGTTACTACAAGGATGTGAGTGACGTCATTAAGAATCTCGATAATATATTAAATTCAGAAAAGACTTCTAGCTCTGAATCCAGTCATCAGGCAAGTCCTTCGAGAGATAACTTAAGCTTGGAATGTAAAAAAGATTATCCTGTGCAAAAAAGTATGGTTAAGTCGCCCGGGATTAGTAATTTCCAAAACATTCTAGAAATAGGTTTTGATACGGAAGCGCAACAAAACGAGGCCTGTGAAGACGATGACGTAGATCGCGATACTATCGGTACTCTGAGCCACTCTTTTGAAAGGCATAGTGATTCAATCAGCCAACATACTCTAGAAAATTTAACGCCTGAAACACCCATAAAAGATCTTGATGTTATAAAAGGGATTGAAATTGAACCTAAACCCCTGGATAAGCAGGTAAATATACAGGATTACATTTTAGTTGATATAAAGAAACATAGTGAATTGCCAAATGATAATAAAGTAGATCATAGTATAAGTCACATACCCATGTTGAAGGAACTATGTGAAGCCGCAATGCCTAGTGCAAGTGAAACAATTGATCTACAACTGAATGTTAGAGAAGACTGTCATACACCATGTGATAATAAGTTAACTGATGTTAAAATTGATTTTAATAATGTTGGAAATAAGTCAGTAGATGATATAACAATACTTGTAGAATCTGAGGAGAAATCTAACACGGAATCTGCGACTTTAGCATTAATAACTGAAATGGAATCGACACAAAAAATGGATAGTGAGATACAAAATCAAAAGTCTAATGATCAAGTCTTGCCCGAATCAGAAAAGAAAATAACGGAAACAAACAAAGAAAATGTTACTGCTCTAGTCATTAATGATATATTTAACGAAAGTAAAAAAGAAGAAATAAGATTAGATCTTTCAATTCACGAAAAGTTAAATATTGATTTTAAAGTTGAAGAACACAATGAAGAAAATACTTCCTTAAATATAGAAATTTCACCGAAGATTGCGATTCGTAGAACAGAAGAATGTAGCAATGTCGGTAGTGAACAAATTTATGAAGCTGACAAATTACAACCAGCATTTAAATTAAAAGAGACACCTGAAATAGTACAAAATTTAGTTGATAGCGCTCATTTTCAAACTAATAATGCTAATTCTGTTAGTAATGAAATAGAAAATATAGAAAGAACACAAGCTGAACAGATTTTGCCACCTGAACTAGTACAAAATAATAGTAAGGAATTTGTGTTTAATGATAATGCACAATTAGAAGAGAACGTCAATGATGTAACTGTTAAAACTAATGATATTAAACCGCTTAGATCTGATATTAATGTAAAAGCTATAGAAAATGTGATAAAAGAACCCCACAGTGACAGCACTGTTTATATGGATCTCATTAATTATTCAAATAACGAGTTTTGTAAAGACAATCATATTTATAGTGCGGACGTTGTTCCTTCATATTTTGAATCCTCTAAAGATGAAAACGAGACGAATAATGGTAGTGAGATAGTCAAAAATGAATCAACAGCATACTTAGAACTGCCTAGTGTAATTAAAGAGACAGATAATTTTCTTCATTCGGAAAGAACTCTCTGTAGTCAGACCACAGATTTTAAAGACGTAGTATCTAGCACTCCCAAAGGAAGCGATAGTTCCGTTGATGCCTTAGAAACTTCTACAATTGAGAATGAATACGACGTATTGTCAGAAACAAAGGTACCTGAATGCGATCCGGGTGTGACGTTAATTAAATTGGAGCAAATATGTGTTCCAGATAGTTTAAGTCCATTAGAATCGCCTACCAAAAGCCACCACACCGATACTTACGATGAAAATAGTTCAGTAGTCTTAGGGCCGTTTGAAAACTGCACTTTGGAGTTATTCAAAGCTGTGAAATCAGAAATTGTGGATTTGCCGAAAGAAGAGCTCTTAGCATTTTCTTCCAATTTTAGCGAAATAGATCTCGAAACTCCGTCGCCTCTACGCGACGGTAACTTTTTGAACGAAGTACCCGACATCGTCCATGATGATTTGCATTTTGACGATGTTGTAACTGTGAGTGAAGCTAAAACGGAAAGTATAGAAGGTCAGAGTGATAATACTGAAAACACAGAAGAAAAATCAAATACTGAAAAACATATATCACCTTCAACTCCACCTAACTCACCTGGCATTTTTCTTGCGTCAACATCACAGCAAAAGTACTTAGTCGAAATCGATTTGAGCACGCCTAACGAAAGCGTTCCACACACGTCAGCGTCTATAGTTACGGATTCAGTAGCCCCTCAACCATCAGATTCAGGTCTGAGCTCTTTGCAGAAAGAGATAGATTTGAATCAAATAGAATTGCAAATCACAACAAAACTGGCTATAGCCGAGAACGAAAACAACTTGAACATAGAATATTCTGGACCGTTGACAGTGGAAGGTTTCGTAACAGAGGACGAGATGCTGATGCGTGAGAGCGACGCCATGCCGGAATCTTACCTTGCCGGCAATGGAAGGAGGCTGGAAGGGTTTAGAGAACTAAATCTGGATGAAGAGTGTGTGCAGGCTTTACGAAATGAATTGGAATTGAAGCTGCCATTAGCCCAGGTAAGCCTTGGCTTTTGCAATTTTATTAAGGTAATATATGCGTGTAGTTTTTTTTAATACATAGCCCTATTGAGAAGTACCGTTAAGCTTCGTTTTTAATACAACTAAATGTCCAACACCGCGTAACCTTGACGTTACTTGATCTTAACTCTTTTCACGCAGTTTCCCACCGCATTGAGTATTTAGACTGACATAAACGAGATATACTGCCATGGAAAACACAAAAAAGGATAATAATTAGTCCATGAAATCTTCCCGTCGCTTCTGACACTTTAACACAGATTAATGATATGATAAACTGTAGTACCCAACTACATACTCCTATTAAACATTACTTCATGTTTTCATAATATCCAGTCTCTTCTTAATTTTCCATATTTTTTCTAATAAAAAACTTTTCATACTCTAGTCTTTTAGTGTTAAAAGCCCTCTTACATTTCGGCGTTACGCAAATTGAGGTATTTTACGCACCGAGCGGGCTGCGAACTTCTCGAGCGATACTTTCATATCTATTCACTTGTTCGCACTATGATACTGTGGGTATGGCGACTAAACGATCTTCATCTTCCATAATACAAGTTTTCTTAGGATGGAGTTTAGTGGATGGAAAATTTTTTGGTGTGTCATTTTTAGGTTATCAAATTAATTTGGTATAATCTATTTTTTATTATTTATGAAACTTAGTGTTGAAATAAGTACACATAATTTTAATTGTTACGCAATCATCGATTGTTAACCGATGTAAGAATCGATTATATCTACTAATGGTAGCATAGTGATGTAAATAAATAAATAGTACGGTTGTTTTTTTTTATTATGTGCGAGCAACTATGCAGGTCTAGGGAAGGAGACCAGTATCAATGCGACCTAAAAGATCTATTGTGATCGCTGTTATGGCTATAGTTCACTGCTAAGCCCTATGTCTTTAATGAATAGAAGGAGTTGCTTAGCCGTGAGCAATTTCATTTCTTCTGGGCGGAGTACCTAGTTTCCCAGATGAGTGTTACTTTTGCGCATTAAAGGTCCGCAATCAGTTAGGATGCGCAGAGCCGTTTTATTCCGTTATGGAACAGAACCGACACATCGTTGAGTTCCTTAGTCCCAGGATGAATATGTGCTTTTAAGACAACAGTGTCGAGTTAGGTGTCTTGCCAAAATGCGCAATTTATTTTTACTTGCCCGGATTAAGGTCTTAGAATGTTTTAAGCCTGGTGTGTCAGACCAAATCTTAATTGATTTATTGTGGTAGAGAGTTTCAAGGATCAATCGGGCTAGGCTTCTTGCAATTTTACAAAATGGCTCAGGTCCAAATTGTGTACTCTTTGAGCCCTCCCGTGCAATTTTGTCGGCAAATTCGTTGCCTACAATACCCGCGTGACCCGGAACCCATCTTAAGACGACCCTGTTGTTACATCTCAGGGCGGTTTAAACGGTTCACGCAGCTTCCTGCTAGCTTCGAGTTCACTAGGTTTGACCTCAGCGCTAGCAGTGCTGCTTGACTATCTGAGTTTATATAAATTATATGGTTGACGTAGTGTTTTTGCAGATTGATTTCCGCACACTAGCACAAGTATGGCAAAAATTTCTGCTTGGAAGATGGAGGTGAATCTACCCAAATTCATACTAAGTTTAAATTTGGGGCTTTCCCCGTAAATTCCGAAGCCTACGACGAGGATCATTTTAGACCCATCGGTACCATATGAGTCTACCGACCACACAGATAACCTGGCCATTCAGCCAGTTTTCTCTGGAGGGTAGTTCCACTATATACTTTTTATAAACGTGTATAGTGGACGCATGATGTCTGAGATCATGCATAAGACTGGTGTTTCCTTAATTGAGTCAAGCATGGATCTCAATCTGTAGGAGAGCAAGCTCAGACCGCCCTGGGCGTTAGGCATAGAAGTGCATTAAGAGCCATTAAACAGGCAGTCCTTTGTAGACTATTTAGTCTGTCCGCAGTCGTCGTCGTCGACATTGGAGGCATAGGGGAGAATCGGCCTCACTATGCTGCTGTACAGTCATAGGACCATACTGGGACGCAAGCCCCAGTTGTTCCCGACCAAACGACTGCACGTACCTAAAGCAATTTTTGCCTTATGACATACGTTGCTAAGGTGAGAGTTCCACGTTAGTTTTTGGTCGATTGTTACACCCAAGTACTCATCTTTAGCGGAAAATGGTAGTTCTTTACCATTGAGTTTTGTTGTGACTAATTTGTCCAAACGTCTCTTTTTGGTAAAAGGTATTATAATCAAAAGTATAAAGGATATTATAATTATTTTTATGACATACGTTGCTAAGGTGAGAGTTCCACGTTAGTTTTTGGTCGATTGTTACACCCAAGTACTTATCTTTAGCGGAAAATGGTACTTCTTTACCATTGAGTTTTGGTGTGACTAATTTGTCCAAACGTCTCTTTGGTAAAAGGTATTATAATCAAAAGTATAAAGGATATTATAATTATTTTTATGACATACGTTGCTAAGGTGAGAGTTCCACGTTAGTTTTTGGTCGATTGTTACACCCAAGTACTTATCTTTAGCGGAAAATGGTAGTTCTTTACCATTGAGTTTTGTTGTGACTAATTTGTCCAAACGTCTCTTTTTGGTAAAAGGTATTATAATCAAAAGTATAAAGGATATTATAATTATTTTCCGCCTGTTGAGGACGAAGACGTCCTTTACCGGTGCTCTTGACCCCCCCCCCCCACCTTTCGCTTTTTCTTTTTCCCTCCCTGGTTCATTTCCAATCGTGGTTCAGGTGCAGACGTGCACTCCACTTCACGGCTCGTCCCAGGTTGGGGCGTAGTGTTGCAGGGTATTGGTGAGGATAAAAGAGCCTCTTCAAAACCTACAGATAGTTCCATTATAGGAGATTTTTCATTATTCTTTGCAAAATGTCGGTTTTCGTCCATTTTGGTCCCACGATTAGATAGAAAAATATGGTCACCACCGGCAGAGCTACGCATGCTGAGGGACGGGCTAAAATACTACCCAAATCCATTCACTCCACTCTCCTTTACTCCATTCATCGGCACGGTACGCTTGACACCTTGGATTGGGGTAGGATAGGAAAAAGGGGGTGAGATAAAAGAAAACAAGAAGAGAATCGTCTGAGTGTTTCTGTTCTGTCTTCTTCTGTCTGTTTCCTATTGAACCAGACCAAATAACAGGCGGCAACCACGTGAATAAAGAACTCCTTAGACTTGCCCTGGGGATCAACACGACCTTCGCTCTTCCCCAGAGCCATTCGCTAAACTGCTCGGCAGTGTTAATCTAGTCCTACTGATAATGTCTAAAAGTTAGGAGTAGACTAACCTCCGCCCAAAAAATAGTACGGTTGCAACGTGTTTTAATAAACAAAATAACCAAAGTAACAGATATATTTTTTAATCGATGCTTACAGTCAATTACCATATTTTTTATGAAATGAATTCATTACACATAATTTGAAAAAAAAAATTGCATCGATTATCAATATGAATACTTTGCGACAATAATTTAAATAGAATAATAATTGATAGTTAATTTTAATTCAAAAACTCAATTATTCCTGATTACTTAATTATCAATAAAAATACTTACCTCAAACATACAACAAGTTTTTCCTCTGGTTCAATTGGCCTTCAAAATCTTGAGTTTTTTTACCAGAGAAATATGTAAATATCTGAAAAATCGTTTATAATAATTTAATAAGTCTTTAAATATAGTATATTCTCCATAAAACTGCATTTTTAAATTAATATTATGAATCCAAAATCTTCTTTTCTTCGAATTTTTTTCTTCCTTTGCCAATAAGCAGGCTATTACAACAGTTTTTTGCATAGCGATCGGAGCGATCAATGTCACTGTGCCGTTTCACACCAGTGGTTGAAGAAAAATGTAAAAATTGTTGGCAATATAAAGGATTTGCATACGGCGCGTACGTGTAAATGTACGAGGCCATCCGAAAATGCAGCGCGTACTGTGCGGACAAATGTGCGTTCAGGTTTAATCTAAGAAATATCGCCTAAACGTAAACGCCTGTTTGTCAGGTGGCGGGCATCGAGCCAGCTGGAGACACAAGTGGGCAGGAGGAGGTGGTGGCGGGCGATGGGAGTGAGGCGGCAGCCGCGAGTGCGTGGAGCGGCGAGCTGCCCCCGCCGCCCGAGCTGCTGCTCTCATACCCGCCCGCGCTCAGTCCTATCGCCGAGGAGACCGGCCAGCAGCTCTCCGCTTACGAGAACGACACCAACTGTACGTACACTGCGCGCGCGCGCGTGTGTGTGTGTGTGTGTGTGTCTGTATGTTTTATATGTAAAATTAAGAGTAATATTGATGGGATCCCTGTAATCTTGTAGGTTAAGCAAAAAGAAGCATTTTTTTTAAATTCTAGCTACTGAATTGTAGTGACCAGTTAAATTCTTATTCCATATGTGTTATACATTACAATAATTGAATTTTTAAAATTACCGTATGCTATAACTATTCAAATGCATTATTCTTGTTTGGCTTAGATGTCTCTCTTTAGATAGGTCTCATGTTGATGTGTAATATGTAACAAAAAAAAAACGACGGGTTGACGGCGTAGAAAGAGAGGGGGATACTTCATCTCCTACGCCGCGCCGACTGTCTCTCTCTCCATCCGTCTTACGAATTTTCGATCAGGGTCACGTGTCCTGACGCGAGTTTAACATTTTTTACCCATTACAAAAAAGGGTACAACGCCGCTAAAGAAGTTTTCACTTCAAAAACTGTACTAACTGTGAAAACTATTTGTTCAGCATGTCGTAAAAGGCGACTAATCATATATTGGGCTTATGACTTCTTTCACAATATTCCAATCTAAACCCATATATTTTGACTAAACGTGGTCCGAACAGGTCGCTGCTGCTGGTAATCTGCATATTCCTTGGGCGATTACAAGTGACACCATGTGTGTGTTACTAAGATGTTTCATTTAACTCAAGAAGATACACGTTGCGCTTCAATATTACTTTATTAACCAAACACATTTTTCTAGTCATATTAAAATATGTTATCTAGAACAAATTCTGGAAGGAAAACTTCACAGTGTTCACTAATTGAAATTAGGAAAAATTACGTCATAATTTAATGAAGAACTATAATTTGTTTTAATGAATTGAATTACTTTTCTTAAAGGGAACCTATCGAATAGAACGGAGTCTTCGGAAAGTTATCCAGAGCCTTGCAACAACTCGACTGACGAGGTCACGGATCTACCGACGGGTGTTCAGAGCGAAACTCACGAACACTCGACATATACTATTCAGTCCCGAGAGAATTCGCCCAATAACACTTACACCGTGCAAAGAGAAATCGGCAGCAGTAAAGAGTGAGTTTATAGTATATTTTTCCATTTTAAAATAATCAACACCCGTTTACGGATTCTGTCTCTTGAACATGTCACAGGATTCCATAACTCCATATCAGAAAGAAATACGTTTGTTTGGCAAATACGTTAACAAAGAAAAAAATATATTACTCATGTATAAAATTTTTCATTGGGCTAATTTAAATTAAAAATTTAAAAATATAATAATTTGGTAATGTTATTGAACGTGACTTCTTAGTTCCTTTTTATTTACTTTTTTATATTTAAGTTATATCTCTAAAATTTTCTCAGGATTATAATAACATTGTTTCAATCTATTCTACAACCATTTGAACCTATTGTCAGCCATCATATATCACATTTGTGTTCACAGAATGACAATGAGTGCCGACAGCTTAAACGCCAGCCCATTCAAAAAGCTTAAAGACGAATCCTTATCGCCAATCGATGACAAAACCTATAACAAGAATGACGATGAAAAACTTTCGAATTGTGAGAGACTATCACAAGTGTCTCCATTCCTACTAAGTCCAACGACCGATACTTCAGCGCCCGACAACTCCGACAATAACGCGGGTTGTTCGACGTTGTCCAAACCCACCGTACCGACGGACGCTAAATCTTCGAAGCCATCCGAAACTCAATGTTTATCTAAAGCTACAAGTATAGATTCGTGGTGTTCAAACGACACTCTTTACAATGTTGAAGAGAATTTCGACGATCTTGCAATGGATCCCGACATGCCTCTGGACTTCGAACCAGACCATGAACCCCAGAAAGACGATAAAAGCGAAAGCACAGATACGCTAACTCACAACGAAGAAGAAAAGGAATTGAGCCATTGCTCAACTTACATAATCCATGATAGCAAGTCCGACATGTGTGAAACGTTTTCACCCGATTCGATTACGGCCAACGACAATAATACGTACACGAAAGCGAAAACGGAAGCGGCGGGAACAACGCCCTCTGTCAACACGAAATCAGAATTAAATGATTCGACTAAAAACACGCAAACCAAAGATTTAGCTTATGGCACACTTATGTCCGGATTGCCTTCGAATTCGAATTGTACTACAGAAGTGCCTTCAATTGCTGACGAAGTTTGGAAGCTAACACAACCGGAGTTAGTGAGGAGATCGCCATTTAGAGATGACTTTAACTTCACACCACCAAACTTTGTTATGGATAAAGAATGCTCAGAAAGTGGCCCAAAAACAAAAGAACCAAAAGTCAATAGAATGGACAGTGTAGAAGTTACTTGTCTTAAAGATAATTCTGATAGTGAAATTAAATCTGAATCAGAAAGTCAAGGATTGTTAGTAGAAATTAATGACAGCCAGGACTACCATTACAGAAATATGGCTCATTCTGTCACAAGCACGCCTTTAGCAGAAATAGGAGTAGAAAACGATAATATGGAATGTATTCCTATTAAATTACCAGAAATTATAACTGAGAATTCGGAATATCTCATGAATAATTTACCAAATTTTCAAACATTCTTTCAATCAGCCGAGATTAGGCCCCAAGATATTTCCTCGAACATAAGCAAAGGAGCAAGTTCCAATCAGGATACTGAAATTTTATTGGAAGGCGAAAGCAAAAGTCTAAGCAGAAATAGCAACAAAGACAGTCTGGCAATTTGCGATCGAACACCGACTTACGCTGATTTTGAAAATTCCGCAACATCGAAACCCCAAGATTTACAGTCCAGAGAAAAATCTAGAAGCTTTGAAAGCAGTACAAACTCAGAAGATTTTCGTGGTTTTGAAAATTCTGTACGTAATCGCCCACAGGATTTATCATCCTTGATTGACGCTAGTTCTTTGTTACTGAAAAGCGAAAGGCGATCTAGTGAGCTTGCTATGGAGTCCATAAGCAATTTGGATCGAACAAATCGATCAGAAAATTTAGTGAACAATGTTAATACTCAATCTTTAGTTATAAGTCCGCCTAATACTATTAACTTAAATGAATCTCATATTAAGGATATCAATAGATCTGTTGATACATTTATAACTGATTTAGATATGGAAGAAGAGACAGAACAGCCTCATTCTATTATAATTACTGAAAGTCCCTTATTAATAAGTAAAAGTCAGAGTCCCAATATTACATACGACTCTCATATTGCGAATATGACATATAATTCACACGAAGGATCGCTCCAATCATCTAATAAAGAAAATACACAAAAAGCAGTTACAAGTATACAGCCTCATTCTATTATAATTACTGAAAGTCCCTTATTAATAAATAAAAGTCAGGGTCCAAATATTACTTACGACTATCATACTGTGAATATGACATATAATTCACACGAAGGATCGCTCCAACCATCTAATAAAGAAAATACACAAAAATCAGTTACAAGTATATCTAATGTTAACGGAGATGAGACATATGTGATACCAAATGAACACAAGCAATCCCCAGAACCAGATATTAGTAATGATATTACTTCTGATATTGAACCGAAAACCGCTTTTTCCCTTATGGATCACCAAACAGTAAAATCTGACTCACCACAAGAAAGGGTTAAAAGGGACATTCAGGATATTAAATGTAATGGGGATAGTAAAAAGTATGCCACTGTTAGCTTCTTAAATGAATCGTTCGAAGAACTTTTAGAAAGTAATGTAGATGATAATGATAGTAGAGACTTTGAAAATGATTTAGTTAATAAAGAACAACAAGATCTTAGCAGCAATACCGAAACAGCTGTTACTTCTATAAAGGATAGAGTTTCGGTGGCACCTGAAGAACATACACCAGAGCACATATATGAAAATATAAAGCAAGATGAGAAAGTAACAAACGGTATTTCAGATGGAGAGAATGAAAAAATAACGTCTCTCACTGATGACTTTTTGCAAAATGAAAAGAAATTCTGTCAGCTAGATTCTTATTTGCCTTTGCTGAGTGATATAAGATTCACTGGTAAGCTGCATTTTTTTTATTTAACTGTTCTAAATAAATTTATACCGTCACTGATAAATGAAATAAATAAGCTTCTCGTATAAAATGCTGCGCCATTGATAAAACCTACCTTAAGCATTTTCTGACATTTTTGAGTCGGTCAATTGTTGAGTAAAGTCTATTTAATTTAAACGAGGATCTAATTCAACTAGTTGATGGAAAAAATGTATTATATTATACTAGTTAATAACATGGCTCACACTACTAAAGATTCATGAATCATCAATTTTATGCGCTGCCATACCGTTCATCATATTACACTAAAACTACATTGCGCTAAAACTTTGTCAACTAATTGCTTGCACATGCGCGGAGGTTGTAGGCAAAGTTCCTACAGTGAACTTATAGTAGGTGCTGCGCGTATCGTACCGACGAATTTATATCTATCTATCAACTTTAATAAATGTATTATCATTCCTAATTAAACAATATAACTCTTTCAAATTTAAAACGATATTTCCACAATTATTTCTTTTACGGCGGCAACGCGCTGCGTGCTAGTATGTTATAAAACATAAACGTACGCGAACGTGTCAAATGAGAATTTTCATTTATTATAAATATATCCAATTCAAAAATAGGTCCAGGTACAGAAACAATGAGCACAGCATTTAACCAAGAGTTGCCTACGGAACCAACCTCGCCAGAGTGTGAGCAGGACAGCAAACCGGACACTGCAACAGAAATACTGAAAGAGTGGGAGAGTGATAGTGACTCTCACTCAACTAATTCTTCCAGTGGCGAGTTTATTTGGAAGGTTAGTAAAATTCAAATTGAAAATAAGAAATTTTATTTATGAAAGTATTCCTGATTTGGGATGAAACTATACTTTAATTTCCGTGCCACTTCAGAGGCGATGCTTGTAGTCTGTGAATGACTTTTGTAAATACCTAAATTTCCTTTGGCATTAAATTTGTCCTCAAAGCCTATTTTTAGCTTACCCTTTATATTCCCTTAATGTATTATGTTCGAGTTTCATTACTCTTAAGCCAATTTCTAGGTGCCTATTACATTTTTCCAGTGGGGTTTTCTGAAATAAAATGAAACTTGAACATAGTAAATGTATTTAAAATTGGTTTGTGTGGTGCCTGTATCCCAATAAAATATGTATTGTGATTAATGTAATGGTGTGGCATTTGTCTCTAAATCGATTTTTCTTGAAAAAGTTATCTTAAATAACATTTCCCCATCTACCCTCGTTGTAAATAATTAATAATTTTTATAAAAAACCATACTTAATTGCATATGTATACCAGTAGCGCCCTCTATACTGTTAAAGTGAAGTGATTGAAGCTTTATAAATTAATGTAGTTATTAAATATTATAATCCTGTGCTGATAGCGTCTACAGACTATTTAAGTAGATGATCTCCATTAAGTAAATGTATACATGTACAGTCCACGTAATGTATTTAAAATCCATGGTGACAGTTATTTTTCGCTTTTTTTTTTTGGTATTGTAGATTGTAAAAACAATAACGAAGTAATGCATTAATTAAAATAATTTGCTTGTATACATTGGTATGAGAATCATAATCTACTTTTTAGTACTTTTATTCTTTTAATGGAATATATATTCATAAGAGTCGATGTTGACCTTGTCGTCCCATGTCGTAAGGGACGGTAGAGGGAAACTAAAACAGAAGGTTGGCAGCTGCACCTTCTGATAATAACTAAAAATATTAAAAAAACTGCGTCTGTCAATTGAAATAATACTAGTTTTTACGGAATTTATCGCGTATATTTAACTTTTTAAATACCCGATGTTTCGAACGCTTTACAGCACTCATGGTCACGGGCGGGACTGAGATGTTCAGTCGCCCGTGAATAAAAGAGTTCGCGATAAATTCCGTAAAAACTAGTAATATTTCAATGTGTAATGTTCGCGTAAATGTAAGAATTCATTATGCGTCTGTCAAGCGTGGCGACTACGGCAAAATTGTCCCTATCAGGCAATCTATGGGCGTGGCCATTTTTCAGCAGTGGACTTTAATATACTGTTATGGATGCTGCCCATCTCCTGATTTGTTTACCTCTGTCAACTCTTACGACACCTGCGGGATTATGTGGGGTAGCGGTAATATTCTTACACCGCCACTACATGTCAATACACTGTACAGTATTAACCTATACCTTTACTAATATATACAAAGCATGGCCATCCTTATTTATAGAATGGTGTAATCCATTGCAAAACTTAAGTGTACATATAGTTAATAAATTCATACAGTAATTTCCATAATATAAAGTGTGTCCGGTCACGGACTAGCGATATTCTAGGTACTTATAATACAGCCAATAACCATAACCAATTATTTCAATTAGGTATGACAAATAAGGAAATAGAGTTAATCTTTATGTGTTTTAGATATAAACAGCATTCCACGTAGAGGTGGAGACCTGGTGACCTGTAATACGGGTATCTTACCCACCATAGGCACCAACGATCCACGGGCAAAGTTGTTTTGTACTGCATATATGCTACTTATAACTCTAAATGTAACTTTGTTTGTGGTGAGAAATAAACGTTATTATTATTTCTATTTATATTATTTTTTCTCAGCTATGAGCTGGTAAATAAATGGCGATTACGGGTTGAAACCAAGTAACCGTCATTGTAACAGGGGATAAGCTACATTACTGTCATCCTGCATGAATTTTCGAACGATGCGACATGTATTTAAGATTGCTGCTTTTTGTATATTAATGTATGAGTTCGGTGATATGTCTAGCATTTTTAAACTATGATGTAAGTGCTTCGGGATTATTCCGGTGGTAGAAAGTACTATGGGTATTATAAAAACTTTTTTCATCTTCCACATTTTTGTTATTTCTTCTTTCAGTTCTGTGTATTTATTTATTTTTTCGGTTATAGTTTTAATTAAATTATGCGTATTAGGTACGGCTATATCAATGATATATACTGTTTTATTTATTTTATCTTGGAGCGTAATATCAGGTCTATTATAATGAGTGGTTTTGTCTGTCAGAATAGCACGGTCGTAGTACGTTTTAAAATTTATATTTTCAAGTATGGCCGTTGGTGTGTATTTGTAATATGGCGTATGTGTGTCTGAGATTAGTTTGTGTATGATTGCTAACTTTTGGTGTATTATATTTACTATCTGGTTGTGTCTGTGTGTGTAATCTGTCTGCGTGAGTGTTGGGCAAGCTCCTGTAATATGCTGAATGGTCTCGGGCTGTTTGTGACATTTTCGACATTTATCATCTGCTATTGTAGGATCTTTAATTATATATTTTTGATAATTTTTCGTTATAATGACTTGATCCTGTATTGCTATCATGAAGCCTTCGGTTTCAGGGAATAAGTAACCACATACAAGCCACCTATTCGATGCCTCCGAATCTACATGTGCTTGACCTAAGTCATAGGGATGTCTACCATGCAAAACTTTTTTTTCCATTGTATTAATTTCAAGTCTTCTCTGTCTGCATACTGATCATTTATTTCTGTTATATGTGGCTTTTCTGCAAGGTTTAGTGGTGTGAGGTTCACGTCTATTCTAACAATAGCATTGTGTAAATTACTGGTAGTCATTTTTATATGAAAGAATGATCTAAAAGTTGAAAGCTGCTTAGTCCAGAGAGCTTGGATGTCTATAAGACCTCTTCCACCTCGATTTCTGGCTATTAAAATTCTTTTCTACTGCAAACTTGGGATGTAAATGATTAAATTTTGTTAATATGGTACGTGTTTTTATTTCGAGGCTAACTGTCTGTCTGTTTTTGTCCATTTTATTATACCAAATGAATATGTTAATATCAGAATCGCGTAAGTATTAATAGCTTTAATAAGGCTTTTCGATGTTAGTTGGGTTTTACAGATTCGGCTTACTCTATTTTTATATTCTGTTAATAATGCGTTTTTAAGCTAGTATGGTCTAACAGCTTGGATTGCTGATATCCTAAGTACTTATATACCTCATCTGACTCCATGGAAGAAATAATGCCTCCTTCTGGTAAAGTGTAGGGTCCTGGTTCTATTTTTCCCTTCTTTATATTTAAGATTTTACATTTTTCTAATCCAAACTGCATATTTATGTCGTTACTGAATTTACTTGTAATATCTAATAAAATTTTCATGTCTTTAAACGAACTGGCGTAAATAATAATAATAATAATAAAGTTTATTTATTAAGGTATATATAACCCACATATGTTAAGTACATTTTGCGTCAAAGACAATGAATTAGAGTATTAATATATGTTATTAACTCTATTATGAGTTAAAATATAGAACTTTAAAAAAAATTTCATCACCTATAGCGTCTGATGCATACCCTGCCAGTGTTTATAAAATATATTGTCAGGAGACACCTGAGCAACGACCTTAACTAATTCAATTGTTGAGTCGTACAGTTTCCCAGAAACTGGCCGTTCTGCAACGTAACACTGCGTAAAATTCTGGGACGGCAGCCTCTGCGAACGTTGTGAACGCACTGCAGTACCGCGGATGTTTCAAAAAAATACGAAAAGCATCATTATACTGTACTCTGAGGATGTTATAGGATTTTTTTGGTGTAATTTATCCAAAGCTGTCGGTGTAAAAGCTAATAGGCTTTAAACAGAGTAATCTTAACATCCTCAGAACACGAGGCAAAGCGACGCGCCAGCATGTTACGACGTATAGCTAGAGCTCTACGTTCACGCTCAATATCCAAGTCGTCACTCAGGTTCTCCGACAACATATGACCCAAGTACCTGAAATTCTTCACAGTCCGAATCTGCACACCATTTATGCTTACTGGCGGTACTCTCCCCAGACCCTTTCCAGCACGAAAGACTAGCATTTCAGTCTTAGACTCATTATATTTTAATCCACGCATAATTTTCGCAGATGAATATAAGCTTTCTAAGACCGTTGATCGATGGGCTAAGGAGCACCATATCGTCTGCGTAGCTAAGGTTGTTAAACGCTACACCATTAATGTGACATCCAATTTTGGTACTCCTAAGCTCTTCGATCAAGCCGTTAACATAAAGATTGAAAAGGTCCGGAGAGGACAGCCCTCCCTGGCGTACCCCACATTCTAGTTTATAGCCACTAGAAGTTGTGTCGTCCCACCTAACTTTATTTGTCTGGTTCTCGTACCAGTATCTCAGCAAATCCAGAACAGTGCCAGGTACATTGGACTCCTGCATTTTCCTCCATAAATATTATAATTAACAAGGTCAAATGCACAACTCAAGTCCAGAAAGCAGGCGTAAACAGATGTACTACGTCTTTTATAATAGTTTACAACGTGCTTAACGGACAGTATTGCAGAGTCGGCAGAAACACCGGCACGAAAATCGAACTAAGCATCACTTATCCTAATATTTTTCACAAGTTCGGGCTGTAGAAGTCTTTCAAGCACTTTACCAACTATTGTGCCCAGAGAGATAGGGCGGTAATTGGAGATATTAGAGAGGTCACCGATTTTATTTTTAACGACAGGTACAACAATCGTCTGTAACATTTTATCAGGCAGATATGTATGTTTAATACATAGGTTAAAAAGTAATGCTAGAGAATCAAATGGTTTATCACTGGCATAGAAAAGGTGCTCAACACTCAAGCCATCGTGGCCCAGAGAGTTTCCTCGCTTCATATTATGAACTACATTTATGATATCACTAGCATACAAGGACAAAACCTCAGCATTGGAGATTATCGACTGAGCATGGGGAATAGTCTCCACGTGCATTGGTTTAATTGAAAAATGATTAGTAAACATGTTAGCTATGTCCTTTTAATCGTTAATCTCATTCAAGCTAACTGGCAAGCTACTACGTATGTTGCAGGCTTTTGTCGCTTTCCAAAATTTTGAAAAAAATTTATTTGCTCTATGAGTGGCAAGTATGTTCATTCTTATCATCTCTTGATTATTTTGGCACCATTTTAATTTATTTTTAAAAGCCCTACGCGTCGTTGTCATATCGTCATAAATTTTTCCGTTAAACGGTTTTCCAGCATTTATCCATTCTTTAAAATATAATCGTGCTTTTGCGTGTAATTCTCGCACATGGTAGTTCCAGCCAGTGACCTGCCTCCTACCTTTCCGGCGACCTTTCGGAGCATCAGACGCATTTAATTTACAATTCATAGGTGCACATTGTAAAGTATGCACATTGTAAAGCTTTATATCATCCATGTATATCAGGTGTGATATTTTAATCTCGGCATTAGGGAGTTTTACAAGGTAACCTTTCTTTTGATCATTAAGTAGACGAGATAAAGGGTTGAGTGCGAGGCAGAACCACAATGGGCTCAAGGAGTCGCCCTGGTAAATACCTTTCCGGATAGCTATGTTCCTCGTATTAAGACTAGTATTATTGGTATGCAAATGTAAAGACGTTTTCCAGTGCAACATAATATTTTCCAAAAAATTAATTAAACTCGGGTTTATTTTATAAATTTTTAAAACTTGAATTAGCCAAGTATGAGGTACGCTATCAAATGCTTTACGGTAGTCAATAAATGTGCAATGTAAGTTTCTCTTCCTTAAATTTGCGGGTCTATGAATGGTTGAGTCAATAATGAGCTGCTCCTTGCAACCCATGTGGTTCCTCCTACATCCTTTTGTTCTTCGGCCATAATCATGTTAAGCTCTAGATGTGAATTTATTTTTGCAGTGATAGTAGCGGTTAAAATTTTGTATATTGTGGGGAGATAGGTAATTGGGCGATATTGGGATGGACTGTTTGTAATATTACTTTTTGGAATCATATACGTAATCCCTTTTGAAATAAATGGCGGCAGTGGTTGCTTTTGGAGTATAACATTTGTAAAAGTTTTAGCGAGAGCCTTATGGAGTGTATGTAATTTTTTATACCAAAAATTGTGAATGTTGTCTATTCCTGGTGATTTCCAATTATGCAGTTTAGAAGTAGCGATTTTAATGTCATTTTCTGTTATTTCGTCAAATATCATTTCCTCTATTGAATCCCATTTACTTATCTCCTCTTGTATCCAGTCGGCACTTTCATTGTGCGATACTGACTTCTCCCATATATCAGACCAAAACTCTTCAAGCTGCTCTTTTGTGACCGTTTGTGTATCATCGCTATTATTAGTTATATTTTTATCCTGTTTTAATTGTCTATAGAACATTTTTTCGTTTGTTGTAAAAAGTTTATTTTCTTGTTTTCTTTGATTAGCCTTTGAATATCTTCTAAGTCTTTGTGCTTTAAGTGAGAATTTCTGTTTGAGTGTGTCAAGGTATTCTTCAGGTGATTTGTTTGTGTTTTCATGAGTTGTATGTGTTTGATAATTTCGAAAGACTTTTTCTGCTGTTTTAGTTACTTTTTTGGACCTATTGCCCTTAATCTGATCGGAGTTGGTTTATTCCTTTTTGTAATCTTATTTGCCATGCTGGTTCTGGATTACGCTTGTGATTTGGCATTTGACTTTCATCTAAAAATTTTAAAACCTAATTCTTTTGTTAACCGTTTAACCATTGCGCTACAATATACGAGGGTATGAATGTCACTTAAAAGTGCATTGTCTGTAATAAATCGGTTCAGTATATTATTGTTAAAAATATCTATTAGCTTTGCAAGCTTTTTACTGTATTTTAATTTTGGTAATTTTGGTCTGCATGTAGGGTCCATACCTGAGTATTTAAATATTGTTGTTTTTAATTCTTCATGTAGTTTTTTAATTACTTCTTCTTCTATAGTTTCTTGTTCTAATGTTGTAAGATCTGTTTCTAAAATATATCATATACCATATCTACTTGCGTAGGAGTATTTGATGTTTGTGTAGAAGAATGGGTGGTGAGTGTTGTCGGCTCTGTAGTGAATGAATAAAAGTTTTGATCGCATGAATGAGGTTCAGGTAAATCATTGGTTCAAGAGCTTCTAAGTCTGTCGAGTTAGAACAAGGTAGAATGTTGTGGCTGTTATTACTAACGATATTTGATTTCTCAATTTTATGCCTGATTTCATTTTTTTATTGTTCCAATTCTTCTTCAGAGAGATATTTCTTTTTAATTATTATCATTCGTCTCTGATCTGAGATTCTTTGCTCCGTAACATTTACTCCCGGGTATTGTTTAGTAAAAGATTCATGCAGGATTTTCCTGTAACAAGTCATATCTGTCTCTAATTTTGTTATAGTGTAATATGTACGCATGATAAACATGTTGACATCTTTTGACCATGTCATACTTTCTCTTGCTTTACCAGCCTTAGTGGACTCAGGTAAAAAGGAATTCACCTCCTGCGTAACATCTAAAGTTGGTGTAGATCTATTTGGACATGGTAAATTATGCCTTGTTAAGGATGACGGTGAAGGTATGTGGCGAATGTGGTACGGTGAATGTTCTTCTAGTAAAATTGATGGTGTATCAGTCTGTCTGTTTTGTGTTGAGTTGGCTGTAGCATTTTCGGGCAACCCGGAGGGAGCCCGCCTATTCAGCTCCTCTCCGCTGACGGATCGTATACTGTCGCACCCAGCGCCAGCTACAAGTGCGCCCCGGTGATCACACCCGGGCAGCGGCCCTAAACGTTTATTTCTTAATCGAGTCTCCATGTTTAATGGGTTATCAGTTCCATGTTAGCCGTGCCAGTAAAAATATATCACGTGTCCGCCCCCCTACGTTAATCAGATGGTCGATTCGGAGGTACGGTTGGATTTTAGGGGGATTTATAAAAAAATTAATTGCCCGCAATCACAAAACGCCTTTGAGTTGTCACTAAACAAAGGCCTTTTGTGTTTGCGCATACGCTATGTTCAAACAACAATAATTCTTAAAATAATAAACATACAGCTGTAAACTTTATGTTGTATTGTAGCTTAACTCAAAATCTATCGATCTAGTAAAATAATAAACAGTATAGATGGGGTTGTTTTTGCAGTAATTTACAATAATTAGCTGATTAGCATAATTTTTTGATATTTATTTGAAGTTAATTTTTTTTTTCTCTAAAATACGAGTATGTGAACAATTTTTTGGTAACGTAAACGGTAGACAATGTTGTTGCCCTCCGAATAAGCCCATTTTTATCTCAGTAAGACCAAAACATTGAGAGATAAGAATTTTTTTGTAAACACGTAGAGAATATTTCTAGGAAAAAACAAAATGGCCGCCACATAGAGGGCGAGGCATATTTTTGTATTAAAATAGCTGTATTATAAGTACCTAGAATATCGCTAGTCCGTGACCGGACACACTGTATATATACATTAAAGTCATATAGTACATATAGTGATTAATTAAAAACAATTTTATTGAAAGTGGTCGCCTTTAGGTTTGATTCAGGTCTTTAATGCCTCCATGGAGAATTTTTCTAGATTTAAAGATTCGAAAGGCACAATATTGTTTAGAGTGTTGCAGTCTAACGTGTTGAGATCTGGACTGGATATGATAATCTGAAAACTGCTGCTCTTATTAATGGCGACATATCGATCAAAGTTTCTTACATAATAAACACAGTTGCTAGTCATTAGTATAACAAGTTGATATGGTTAAAATTTGTATCGGACCATTGTGAATAGAACATTATTTTGTATGCAATACATATACAATTTCTTATTTAGATCTAAAAATTTATTTTTAGAAAAATTTTCTTAAAAATGTTAAAAATCATTAAGATTTTTAAGCTCGAAAAATATTTAAATTCAATTTTATGTCATCCTTAGTAAAGGAATTGAATTTCTAATATATTTTAATTATTGTATATCAATGATCAATGTATACAAATGGTTTTATGTGTTCCTTGTCAGCAAATTAATAAATTCTCTCAATATTATTTAGTTTTGCATACAATGGGAGCGCACACGCTACAATTTTTTCTCTGTGCTAATATAAATTATTTAACTTTCTATGCTTTGCTATTTATGTATGCTCCAAAAATATTAAAAAAAAGCGAAAGATATGTATATAATACTGAAAAAAAAACATGCTGCTGTATATACTATCTTATTAATCCTCTGTACATGTGTATAACAAAAATATCGGTGTCGGTGTGCTTGCATGTATATGTAAACACGTGTGTGTGTGTGGTGCTTAGGGCGGCGACGGCCACGAGACCTCCGTTGTGCCTTCTACGCATTTCGACCACGTAAGTACATAATATTGTTGTACATTTACATCTCCAAACTACTGAGGGGATGATTGATGACGATATTTAAAGATTTTTAAGTAAATTTTTAAGTGTATCAATATATATATATACAGTGTGTCCGGTTACCGGTGTCGGAGATTTTAATGCTATAAAATATAATCAATTTCATCGACAAATCATGTCTCAAATCTCATTTAGACCTAGCTGTATTTAAATGGCAGCCATTTAAATTTTTTAGTGTCACCACCTCGACCCCGCGCATTAAAATTACAATATTCACCGATGTTGAAGTCCTACATTCTTAAAAGATATCTCATTGGATAGATAAAGATACGCGTAATAAAATAAAAGCAAACTTTTAACTGCAAAATTGTATTTAGATCCTAAAAAGACTTAGAAAAGAAAAAAAATGTAAAAAAAATCGGTTATTTTTTCACATTTTCGACTTTAATGAAAAAAGTAAGTCATTTACCTAATGATTTTTTACATTAATCAGATAGATCAGAACATATCCTAACCAAAAACATAAAAATCTTAATTGTAACCAAAAAAAAAATCAGTATTATAACTGTTTGAATATTATGACCTTTGAAAAATTTGTCGCCCTGGTTGCAGACTGACAAAGTGAATATGAGAAGAGTGAAACACAACATTTCAAAATGCACGTAACTAAAAAGTTATTTATAAAAACTGTTTGAAATGACCTCCGCGATGTTGGAGACATGTTGTAGGCCTTATTGCCACATGTTGAGTTGCACGTCTGATCATCTCCCGATCTTGTCGCAATTCATTTCCAACTTCGATTATTTTATTAATCAACTCTTCTCGTGAGTTTGGCACGTTCGCATAAACTCTTTGCTTCATAGTGCCCCATAGAAAAAAGTCTAAGGGAGTTAAATCCGGTGAACATGGAGGCCAAGCGATCCTTCCACCGCGACCAATTCACGGCGAATAGCGCTCATTTAAATAATTTCGCACATTTACTGCAAAATGTGCAGGTGCACCGTCAAGTTGTATGATCAATCATCCTTGTTCTGTGAGTTAATGGAAGCTCCATTAATTCTTCCAAAAACTGTGTTTGCAAAAACTCTAAAAATCTTGGGCCATTCATAGTTTCTGGTAAAATTATCGGCCCAATTAAAATATCGTCTTTTATTCCAGCCCAAACGTTCACTCGAATTTCATGTTGGAAAGTATTTTCTCTAACAGCATGAGGGTTGTTTTGAAGCCACAGATACTCGTTACGGTGATTTGTATAACCCGATCTCGTGAAAGTGGCTTCGTCAGTCCACAAAATTCTTTTTAAAATATCTGCATCTTGTCTTGTTCTTCTATTGATCCACGAACAAAAAACTGCCCTTATAGCATAATCAGGTTCGCGAATGTCTTGTACCCGCCGAAAATGGTAAGGATACAAACCTTCCCTCTTTAAAACTCTCCACACTGACCATTTTGTTAAATTAAGCATATTGTTTATTCGTCTTACACCGAGTCTGGGATCTTGTGTAATTAAACGTAATATCTCTTCTTCCTCCTCAGGTGCCACAAGCCGAAATCTTTCAATAGCGGGTCTTCTGATCCCAAGTTCAGCTATCCGCAAATGTATCCTTACAAACGTGCGAGCATTTGGTGTAGGCCTGTTGGGAAACATTCTGGCGTACTCTGTGACAGCTCTGTTTGCGTTGCCGTTGCACAATCCATACACAAAGTGGATATCAGCGACAGTTTGAGTATTTACCATCTGCTATTTTTGAAAATATCAAAATAACTAGAAACTTAACCGCAAACTTAAAAAGTTCCACAAAACGGAATTTTTTTTTGACAATAACAACAACAAGCGATCTTATAGGGGCAAAAGTAGTGTAATCACAACGCGTGGCGAGGGACGACTGTTTTTGTGTCCCAAGTACACTTTTTTAGAACATCAAACAGTGGGCTTTGGGTTTTTCTACCTGCTCTTGAACTATCATAAATGATCCTGCACGTGCAGCTCGCTCTTTTAAGAGGTCGTGTTTGATAAAGTACAATTCTTAAACTATTTAATTTAAAATTAAGATTTTTAAGTTTTTGGTTAGGATATGTTCTGATCTATCTGATTAATGTAAAAAATCATTAGGTAAATGACTTACTTTTTTCATTAAAGTCGAAAATGTGAAAAAATAACCGATTTTTTTCTTTTTTCTTTTTCTAAATCTTTTTAGGATCTAAATACAATTTTGCAGTTAAAAGTTTGCTTTTATTTTATTACGCGTTTCCATCTTTATCTAACCAATGAGACATCTTTTAAGAATGTAGGACTTCTACATCGGTGAATATTGTAATTTTAATGCGCGGGGTCGAGGTGGTGACACTGAAAAATTTAAATGGCTGCCATTTAAATACAGCTAGGTCTAAATGAGATTTGAGACATGATTTGTCGATGAAATTGATTATATTTTATAGCATTAAAAGCTCCGACACCGGTAACCGGACACATTGTATGTATATATATATATATATATATATATATATATATATATATATATATATAAGATTAATATACAATTACAATTTTTTATATTATTACTGTTTCAAAAAAGGTTCTTGATTTGAGAGGAAACGGCGAAATAAACTCAACGGTTATTCTCTTTCTTGCCATTCAAATTATTTAATAAGTAATATTAAAAATTGATCGTCATCAAACATCATTAGACGTAGATCATTCTTTGTTTTGGATTACCATTCACCCTGCCTTTGTTTATATATTGCTTATGTTTCATGATAAAAAAATTACTTCAAGATTGATTAAGTAACTAACATATTGGAAGGTAAAAGTGTCACCGTTATAGATTATTTTTCATTAAATTAAACTGAACAGTATAAAAGTATAGTAAAGAAAATTGTAGTGTTACTCCAAATACGAAGTATCGTATGACACATCAGTTGAATGTAACTAACTGCATATTATGTTAGTTATTTTTCAAGAGTAATTATAACATATTTCTGCTTTTGAAATGCCGTTTGAGTACAAAATGAGAAATCAGCTTTAATAATATTGGAATAATTTAAAAAACAAAATCAGTGACGGAAGTTTAATGTGTTATTTACAACCAATGCGTGATGCATTTGGCTTATTTTTAACGATTTGGATTTATAAAACTATTCCGGAAGTAGGTACCAAGTCATTTCTGTTTTATTTGTGTTGAATATTTTTAGTATAAATAAAACCAAAACCAAATTATGATTATAAAAAAATTAATCACGAAACTTGTGAATTAACTTGATTATAATAATAAGTACATAAATAGGTAATATTATTACGACTGTGAAAAATGGACTCTCAAAATATCGAGATCCTTAAAGGCTTTTTCTTAATAAATATTTTCATTGATTTTACTGATACAATTCCAATTTACTTCGTATGAGGAAAAGTCAATTAGTTATATTTTCATATTGATTACAGCCTACTAGAATTCCACTGGGGATCATAGGCCTCCCCCATAGTTTGCCCCATAGGGACCCAAACCAGACATCTCAGACTTTGACTCTGCTCGTCGCAGTTCTGTGTAGGTATATATCTAGTAAATGTAAAACCTCCCGTTTATGATACCATTACTATACATATTATTAGGTTATTGCCAATCCTCGACACTTTTTTGAAAGGGTATTTAGTATAATTTCCTCGCAGCCGATTTCGACTACGAAGACGATTTCTGAATACAGTCGAAAACATCAATTGTGCCACTCATTCACTATGTAATGCTTGTACGATATAATCGTCGATAGGCTAGGGTGTAATTTCAGGGACAATCACTAATTTAACCCGACCTCTTATTTGGGAGGTCACGCTGTTGATTCAGCATTCAATAAGGGCTATTTATTACGCAGCAACGAGAAGATGGGTCGCAAGGGAACGAGCGTCCCGAGTTGTCCGGGTCGGCGGGGAACGCTTCATCGGGCTCGGAGGGCTCTGAGGGCTCCGAGGGGGACGAGGTAGAGTTCGTGCCCTCCTCGTGGGACTGTCGTGCGGCTCCCGCTAAATCTTCACTACGCAGTCTTGAACAAGCTGCGCCGGTGAGTAATTATATATAATATATTTTATGTGCTAGTGTGTATATGCACGTGTAATGTTTAATTTTAAAAATGTATACTTTGAGTGAATGATTTTTTTAAAATATAATGTTAGCACCGATAACGACGCGGGCGCATTATCGAATTAATACTATTGAGGGCTCCGCTGAAAATCAGCGCTGCTGCAGTACCTGTGGTAGCATAATTATGCTGAGACGGAATCCTTTTTGGCATCAGATCAGTCACTCTTGCCGAGACTTATTTTTAATTATGTTTACCATCCTGTACCTTGTGTGTTTTTATGCTCTTACTTACTTTTAAATGTATATTTTGTGAGTGTATTGATGCTAATAAAACCTATGTCTATGTCTAATTCATATGTAGCAATCAGATAGGGTTTGTTGGCTCTGGGCTTTATTCCTTGGTGTCACTATAGACTGTCGTCTAAAATAGAAACCTCATTATTGTTATCAATGAGACTTAGTTCTGCTGTGTTCTCCAGTTAATAGAAATAAGGCTGTTAACTGATATAAATACAGCAAGGTTTGTTTATTTTAGCTATTTTCATAGTGTAAATACTTGTCTTATGGATTAATTTTGTGAAGAACGGCGCTGATGTTGACAATATAGTAATACTACAGAAAAGAGCCATATACATACAATCAGACCGATGGCCCCACCTAGAGATCTTAAAAACAAATGTTGCATCATAGTTCATACCTTTTTTAAGAAAATTAAAGTGACAATAGAACTTTTGTATTCATATGACGTATGAGAACCGGTATTATTCTCGAGGATGAAATAAAGGTGGCTGTCGGCTTTAGTAGCTGCTTACTTTAGCTAAAGTGTGTCCCCACAATTGTTCTTCATCCAGTCCTCCCTGACTTGCCGTAACATTCGCCAATTTACAGGCTAACATAACATATCAGACAATCGCCATACCAGACTTCTCCAAAGACTTCTATGTATACTACTAGACGGACTCTGAGGCCTTAATATTTTTGCACACCAAGTTACGGTCAATTTTTCGTAACTCTTTTAGTCGACTGCGTGCCGGCGAGAAGACTAGTTCTTTGTTTTTTAACCGGTAATGCTATTTCCGACAATTAACAGATTTTTTTTAAAATGAATCATAAAACGCTGTCATCATTTACGTGCGGACTTTATGAACGTGATTTGTGAACTTTACAACGCGGTCACATTAACTTGACGCATGGCTTTGATGACGTCATTTTGGGCGGTCAGGTACTATGCGATAAAAAAGCATATAGCTAAATAAAAACTATATTTTTGATTTTGGAGCATAGGTTTTATTGGTTAATCTTGCAATATGTTGCATCATGTATTTTTATACAATATTGTATAATTTAAAACTATTTTATGTTGATAGATAAATATTTATTCAAAATTCTTCTTCACTTTCGATCTCGCTGTCGGATGACTCCTCTCCTCCAAGATCGATTACAAGTTGCTGCGGTACGTCGTCAACCAGGCCATCTTTTTCCCAGTATTCCTGAAAATAAATAAAATAGTGTTATTAATTTACCACAAAATAATTTTATCGATTTAGTGAATTACTAATATGTATCTCCAAAAAAGTACTTATATTTTTTTATTTAACATCACAATATAAACATAAAAAATACATACATACTTTAGATTTATAATTTATTTACGAACTGACCTGTTGTAGTCTCTCGACATGGTTAACTTCTTTTTTCCAGTCTCATGCTGTGATGGAGTTTATTGCATCTCTGGTGAGATTTTCAATTTTTCTTTCTTGTTGGTCTAAGTTTTTGTATGCCACCCTCTGTTTGACCAAATTCCAGACATATTCAATGGGGTTGAGGTCACAATGGTAGGGTGGCAAACGTACAATTTCATGGCCATGTCGTTTCATTAAATCATCGACAATGCTTGCTATTGCTTGGGCGGCTTTGCCTTTTTTATAATATGGTAGAGTTTTCTTTTTCTCATTTTTTCATCAAATGGAATATTGTTGTCACGCAGCCACTCTTGCATGTCTCCTTTTAACGTTGCACTTGTGGGGCCTTCACCGACTGCATTGAGTGGTAAGGCGCGTTGTCAATGACGACTATACTATTTGGGGGCAAGTTTGGTATCAGCTTTTCATTAAACCATTTCAAAAAATTCTCGGTATTCATTTCATGATGGTAATCGCCAGTAGTACTTTTGCATTTGTATTGCAAATCTGCATCTGGGATAAATCCGTTTTCTCCTCCAGCATGCACCAGAATCCGCCGTTGACCCGGCTTAAATTTTTTTTTCACGCTGCTATCTGTGCTGTTTTGCCAGCATTTACTGACGGTACAATGGGAATGAATCCACGTTTCATCCAGGTAGATAACTGGTTTTTTACCTGCGCCGAGGTCATTGTTCTCTTTCATTCGGCGCAGGTAGCGTTCTCTCCATGCGGCTATTTTTGAATTAGCACCGAACGCGCACTTTTAAATTTTTTAAACTTATAACCCAACTGATTTATTAAAATATTTCTAAGGAAAGTTCTGCCACCTTGAAAATTAAGATCTCTCTTAACGGCTGCGAAGATTTTTTAAGCGTGGGTACTTCCTTTTTTACAGTATAAAAGCTGTTGATGATATTGCGTATTACGCAAATATCAAAATCATCCACGACAATTTTTTTCGCTGATTGTTTACGCTTTTTACCCGGTGTGGATAACTTTATTTCCCTAATTGGATTGTCTGTAGTACTTGGACTGGGACAAATGTCAGTGCTTGGAACGGTGCCGGTATAATATATATAGTAGTGCTTGGACTAGCGTCGGGCGAAGATCCCGACGGTGGTACACATGCCTTTTTGCCTCCCTTTTTATACGAATAAGAGTACTTCTTGATATTCCAGTTGCTGCACAGGTTCGTTTATCAACCTGATCTACAGGTATGCAAAAGCGTCTATTTTTCTTCTCATTCTCGAAAAACTGCAGCACTTTCAACACAAGATTTCTCCCTTCACTGTGTTTAGTTTTCCCCATGTTAAAAAATAAGTAGTAACAAAAATAGTCCAAACTTAAACAATAACGAAAACGTAACAAAATATCCAATAACAACAATAGCAACAGAAAACTAGTCAAAATATCGACGCGCGTATCGGTAACAGAGATGCTAACCATATTGACGATTGCCTGGCGAGTTAAGGGAGTGCGGGGGAAGCGGGCGGGGCCTCGCATTCCAGCGATGCGTCAAGTTAATGTGCGTCAAAAAACGCACACCTAAAAACGGGACGCAAAAAATTACGGGAAAAAAAAAAATTAGATTTAAAAAAATTAAAAAAACAAAAAAAAAAAAAATAAAAAAAAAAAAAGGGGCCAAACAAAGCTGTGCTTCCTCAACCCAATGTGACCGCGTTGTAGTAATGTGTAGTTTTTTTTTTCAGATAAATATGTACCTTTATTTCGTATTTGCCTAAAACTAGTAATTATCGTAAATGCGAAGATGCTAGGCATATTTACCGTGCTAACACCCGTAACAATACGCTACAGCTACAGCTGTGACACAGTTTTTGTTCTGAATTGCCGGTCTAGTAGTATACATACTAATCTTCACGGTATTACTGTTCTCTACTGATGACTAGGTCCTTAGTCAAGTCTTATGTCACACATAACACGAGATAGAATGTAGGATTACCTTACCCCTCGGCCACACACTCGTCGAGTGGCATGGTAATGGTAAGTAATGAGGAAAGAAGGCGGAGACGTAGTGTGGCCACAATACTCGTCTTGCTGCACGTCACGCTCCTCGCTCCCTGTTTTGTCGGTATTTTGGGCGCCAGTCAAATGACTGGTAATATGAGCGCGAGTGACTTGTCACACATTCGCGCAAACGCAGTCCGAGTCGAGCGGTCGGGACGGAAGTACGTCACGTATCATTTAAAATCATAAATAGTATACCTATCATCGTCATTCAGTCATATTATCATATAAGTAAAGAATATACAGAGGAAAAGCTATCTCGGCGACGAGAACTTATATTTAGTTTTATGACATTGATATAATTAGCTATAATAAATAAGCATAGCTCGCACGCTGCAACAGTTTCAACATCCATTGTGTTGCAAACGCGAGCGACTTAGTGCGGAGCATTGCGATTTATAACGCGAGTAGAACAGTGTGTGGTTAGACAGCGCGAGGAGCAGAGCGATGAGCAGCGCGAGGAGCATAGTGTGGCCGAGCCATTACGCTGTCAACCCACGGCAATCAATCAATCTCTGGTGTGACTACCATGCAAGCTGTGCGCTACAATTCAATTCTTATCAACCTACAGGACAACAAGAAACGCGTTGTTTTCAAGCGTCAGAAGTACCACTGCGTGTACGAATATCCACGCGAGGTGGCCGACGTGGACGCTGAGTCGCCAGCGTTCTTGCCTGATTTCTCAACTTATTCCGGTAAGTAAAACCTTTGAGCCTGTGAACGCTTCGTTGTATCAGAACGGTTAAAGTAAGGAAAGATCGTTGTTTTCCATGAGCTAAAATATACCAAGAATTTCTTAAAATGTATCAAAATTTTATTTAACTCTCGTGACTTCGTTACCCTGGAAACAACCCATTTTTACCTGTTACTACTGAGTACTGTCGTAAGTGTTAAGACGTTCAGAGTTTTTATGGGGAAATGTTTACGGGACGGGTTGTGTCGGAATCGCTTCGACTAAAATCCTAAAATGGTCTACCTTTATTCATGGTAGTCACGTTGCGGCTATATTATGGTTGTAGCACGAACGCGTCGGCTCGGCCGGAGAAGGACCAGGCTCTTACAGGATACCTGCGAAAGTGTAAAGAGTGAGAGAGTAGAGAACCGAAGACCCTTTTTCTTGGAAACGAGACATTCCATCTTCATATTATCCTCATCATCATTTCATCTTATAATCATCTTATAGTCCTCAGGGTGACAACGCATCTGCGTTTTGATTCTTAATCGAGGTTAGATGTGGAGATATCTATTGTCCAAGCATCCACTTACTATCAGGTGGACTGTGTGCTCGCTTATCACCCTATTCTATAAAAGAAAAACCTTCGCCAGACATTAGCAAGGCTATAAGCAAGATAACGTTTTAAAGGCACATTCTTAGCTTATATTTCGCGTGTATTTTTAGTTTCTAAAAAAACTAACGTATTATTAGTGTATTGAATTTATTGTAACTCGCTTTTACGACGGTTTCTTTACAGAGTGGGACCCAACAAGTGCAGAGGATGCAGAAATTGGCTACGGTGAGCTTTTCGGAGCGCCAAATCCACTGAACTTGTTCCCACGATGGCACGGCCCCGGGGCAGGTTAGTATCACACTAGCTATCATATTTTATGTCAACATTCTTAATTTCAGTTTCTCTAAAGTATTCGAACTTATTTCTTACAACAAGAAGGTCATTCCCGCGGAAGTATAGACAAATTAGAACCCACACTCAAGGTATTTTTTTTGTATTTTTTATGTCATTTGAGAGGGCGGGTTCCAGTTTGTACTAAGTACATTTATTTCCATGGTCTTTCCTAATGAAATGTTTTAGATTTTTTGGTTATATTTCTTGTTGTTATATAATGTAACAACTGATACAGACAAACAACACTTTGATAAATGCAACTGTCGACCAATGGCGGCACCTCCAATTTATCATTACGTAGTACAGGCACATTCTAACTACTGCGACAGTTGGTCATCGGAAAATCGTGCGGTGCGGTGCCGGCCGAGTCGCGCGGTGCTGTCCGCTAGGGTTGTCCTATCACGCAAATTAATTAAAATGGTTCACAACTGCGCGGTGAAAAAACTGAGGGTCGTCCTCGTTTAAAAGATAAGAAATTAAAGTTTCATTAGCTGTATGTGACACAGGAATTCGTTTCAACGTAAAATAAAATAAAATCAGTCTTATTTTATTATTACTACCCGTTTTGACAACCCTAGTAATTTTTTGTTTATGTCGGCTTTTCCGACAACATCAAACGCGATGGCTGACTATGTTCTTTTTAGGCTCTGGTACAGGAGCGCACTTGTATAAACGATCTTCAGTAGCAATATTGACATCACGTGTTTTATATTAGTAGCAGTTTACTTCTCTAATGGACATTAGAAAATTATTAAAAAACGTATTTAAATTCTTTTTGATAGGTAAAAAAATCGCTTATCTCCTTTTATAAAAAATATCGACCGACCTTTTTTTAATTTACTTTATTTATTTAGAATTTTTAAAATCCACTTTGTTACTACTTCCTATACAAATTATTAAGACAGAAGTCAGACCCTAAGCTTTGTCACTGGCGTATCGAGTTCAGTCGACATATCGAAGATCGAAGTGGCAACAGCAAAAAACAGCTATCTCTATCTACAAAAAACCCCTGTAGTTTCCATTAACTGCGTTATCAGAATATGTTATAATATGTAATATGTTTGAATACTTTATAGATATAACTTTATAGTATACAAAAGACTTTTTTTAAAAACTCAACCCTAAAAAAATATAATGCATACAATTTGCAAATAAAAAATTATTTTAGTTAAATTATTTTTTTTATGGTCGTTTTGTGAAAACATTATATTTCTATACGTTTGAATACCGGTTCCGATAATTCACTTAAAGGGAACCACAGGTTTTTTGGTACATGTTGTATATAAGGCTATATCTGCCGTTGACAAAGTGCGAGTCGTCTGTTAAAGCACATAATGACAAATGTCACCTGGAATCTTGTGGCACTGAGTTAATCATTTCTTTTATCGTCGTAGATTACGATGAGGACTTCTTCATAACATCATCGGCCCGTCCATTTGAGAGCCTCGGCGTGATGTCGACCACGAGCCAATTCTTTCCCGGGATGCACGTCAAACCTTCGCTGTTAGAACGAGACATCGACGATCTGGACGATTTCCCCCCACCACCCTCCCCACTCCCACCAACAACACTCGTACAGACAAGAACGCCATCTTTAGACTTCACCACGCCTGACTCTGGTGTCGAAGACATCACACCTGGTTCAACTAGCACAGAAGACGATTTCAAGACGAAAAAGGTCTCTGATAATGAAACCTGTTGGAGACCAGTCGACAGCGCCAGTTCTAGTGAGTCCGTTAGCCCTAGTTCTCCTGGAGGCGAAGCGCTAGGTGGTCTTAGACACACGCGAGATAAATTGAAACTAGATCTACCCCCGAGTCCACATATACCATCTCCTCGACACAACAGAGTGTTTAACTTCGTATTAGATAAACCAAAGAGGCGGACTCAAGAGGAACGAACTGAAATCGGAACCACGCCGTTGGTGATGACGGACGAAACGCCAATAATCACCACGTCACTGCCCCTCCAAAAGGAATCTGATGACGTCATACCGGAACCAACTTTTTCAACATTTGGAAAATGTGCTTCGAAAAATACTGAACCGGAACAGAAGGCCATGATCTTAACGGATGATGTTGAAGACTCGGAGATAAAAGAAGAGAGTTCAAATCAAAAGGTGGAGCCCGTTAAGGGAGAAGGTACTGTCCTAGACAGTGGAGATGAGGACTCTGGTATTGAAAGCAGTTCAAAGGCAACGCTTGAAAGAAATAAAAGTACTCCAAATATCTCTTAAGTTGAACACAATGATAATTTTTAATTTAATATAAATCTATCCTTGTTAGAAGACGCTTGATATATAACATGTATATAATTGCAAGGAACGATATGGTAAAGAACATAAAAGAAGATCAGTTCGCTTCAGAATGGATGCAATTATCATTGTAAAAGAAACAATATGAAAAAAGGATTGATGAACTAGCTTGGCAAGTGAAATTGTTAAGATATCTAAACGATTGCATATTTATCAATTCCTTGTTAATAACAAATGTTTTTTTTCCACTTTAAAAAAGGACGGTGCATATGCTATCTCACCTTAGGTAAGCAAAAATGGATGTTTAACCATTTCGTTGTCTCGTGCGCTGCATATAGGTCATTGATATTCTCTTAATGTGTCTGAAAACAGGACAGCGAAAGTATTAATTTGGAAACATTTTTGCATGACATTAATACCTATACATATCGATTTTTCGAACATTGTCGGAAGCCCGCAGCCATCTTGTGATTATATTTAGTTTTAATTACTATAGCAGTCGGACGTGCTCCGTCTCTACATTGCCAGTGATTAATTTGGTGTTACTACAGAACTAAGGTACAAGTAGCCGTGAATTAATATGTGTAACTGTTAGCGCTTTATACTTGAAATATATGGAATAAGTGCTTAGATATGAGGGCTCAGGTGTGCCTAATTGATCTATTAATTAAATCATAATGGCCTATCCTTTTTAAATTAGGTTTATAGTTGGTCGAAGCAACATGACAGACCTGAACAAAGCGTAGAATTGTATGTAACCGATAACCGATAGGAATGAATTCAAAGAATTGAGTAGTGCTAAGTGGTGTTAATCAAACCTTATACTTGCTAGATTTTACATACGTAATATTTTTTAATGTTTATTTCGTAAAAAAGTTGTGCATTAGAGATTGTATTGTATACTACATATGTTCGGATATACGTACGGTAACATTTTATATGAAATACAATTCGTTTGTTTGCTTAAACTTGCAGAACTTTGAGGGCAAAGAAGAACTGTCTAAACAATTTGTCATTACGTCGTTTTTATCGGTATTTATTCTTCTCTGCACAGAACAGACGAATTTATTTTTATTTGTGAATACAATACGTTTGCAAGAATAAATAAAACCTTAATTTATAAATGGTTATTCATAAACATATCATTTAACCATATTTATATAATTCAATATTTGATCTAATAGGCTCAGGTCGTTTAGTTATCACATTAAACCAAAACTATACAGTAATAATTGTAGTATCTCGTAGACGAAGCTGTCAGTCAAACCTAGTATTTAACTATCATAAAGAACAGCAAAAAAAAAAAGATCTAAAAATAGCGAAAGTCAACTTCCAGTAAACACTTTTGGATGTATCTAGACTAGTCGCACTTTAAGCACTGCAAAGCTTCGGCGATCAAACTATAATCACAGGTAGTCATTTTTACAATAATAATAATAATAAGAGATATGTAACGAAATTAATAAAGCATATATTTAAAACCGTTGCATTCATGCCTAAATACTCAAGCGCTGCGCCGAACACTCGTGCTGTCTCTGTCACTTTAAGTCAAAGTGACTGTGACACCACGAAACTTAAAATTGACTACGTTTGTGTATTTGGCCATTAGTGTTGTATGTGTATCCGATACGTTGAATAATATTGTCTGAATTCTCTCGTGGACACTACATCTACGCACAATGAAAAAAACATCTTCCATGTTTAAAATTTGGTAAACATAAATAAATTTTGATCCTTCATTGAAGTTGCAGTAGAAATTATGACTACTGTTTTATATCGAATTAATAATTAAATTATTGGATTTAGATACTATATCAGTCACTGTTTTACCAAATAGTTAAAATTTTTTAAATTTATTTATTGCAATAAATACAATTTGCAAACACGAATTAAACGGTGTGATTAATATTGCAACTTCAGTGGATTATTTGAACTAATGCCAATTTTAAGTTAAGTAAAAAAATTATATTAGATAAGTGTAGAGTAGTCGTAATGTGGTGACAGGTCGACTTAGCGTATAATTATTGGGCACTTGGCAACAAATTATATTTCAAATATGCATGCCTTTACATGGGCGAAATTAAATATCTGTAAACATTTTGCGGCCTGTGAAATTAAAAAAATGACATTGTTTTGGTAAAAATATTGAGGTTTCTTCCCACGCAATCTATGGTTTACTTAAATTATGTAATTTGACTTTAAGGTGGCCCTAGTCGATGGCACGAACTCAGTGGTGGGCGAGGTTAAAATGCATGCTGTCACAGCCGACATCACGTGCGAAAGTGAAAGGCATGATGATTTACAACGAAACGAGCGCGCAAAATTTTATAAAAAGACCTTTGGGAATCTATATATCATGAAAAATCTATTGAATGTATTTGTTCAAAATAAAATTATTTGCACTTTTGAACACCTAATCGACCCCTGTATAGTAACTGTTTTGCAATTTTCGTTCTTCTTATGGTATTTTTTCCGCCCAAAGATGTGTTAAAATTAGTACTTTTAAATATATTCTTTTTTTACTTTTTTGTTTCCATACGGGGCTAGATACTGATAAGACAAATTGAAATAATTTTTTATTTTGAACGTACACCATCAAACAGTGGAGTAATCGCCAGACTACGTTTGTATGGAAGAATGAGCGACTAGTGTATCCTTAAAGATAAAATAAAAATATTTTGCCTGCTTACATTGTTAAAACATAGTATTAGATACTAATAAAATAGTAGAATTAAATCTAAATGGTTACACACAAAATTTAATTAAAAAAAAAACTAATAAAGAAAAACAAACTAAAAATTTAAATTGTCATACAGTCCCCGTGGTATCGCGGCAAGAACGCTGGCTGCGCCGCCGAGTCCTCGCTGAAATAGTTCATAAAAGATAGCTTGATCTCTGCGACAGCTGTCAGTAAAATCACGCCTATGAAGTCCTGAATTTCTTAGTAGTACAGACAGTACCTAGTAGTACAGTGTCACAATTACAGGTACTGTCTGTACTACTAAGAAATTCAGGACTTCATAGGCGTGATTTTACTGACAGCTGTCGCAGAGATCAAGCTATCTTTTATGAACTATAGCAGTTGGGTGAGAAATATAAGAAATGTATGTTTTATTTGTAGAGTATGTGGCTAGTGTTGCCGAGTGCACCGCAGAGCGAGTGTTACTGAGATGCGCCATCAGTATAACGTGCGATACGTCCAAGTGTAAACCTCATGTGCAATTCTTCTCATTTCCATATTATTGCGTTTTAGTTTAGTTACTGCTGTAAATATAATTTAATGTTATCGAAAGAGTAAAATTTTTTTGAATATGAAATTTATTGATTGTACTACATGTTTATTGTTCTTAACATTATTTTTTACAGTTTTAGAATGTTTCGTTGATGTACAGATGTAAATAGGCAGTAGATGTTCATTTTGTTACGATAACAATAGGTTAATTATAATATGGTTCGATTAGATATTTCAAAGTCGAATTTCACCATTTAGAATGTGACCAACAATCGGTAGTCTATGGAATGCCTAGATTTTTAATGAATAAAAGTAATAAATACATCAATTTCCAACTTTATTAATTAATTTCCGTCGCAATCACATAAGTAAACGAGGAATTATTTGAATGAATTGTCCAATTATTATGGTATTTATTGTTTGTAAGTTGTTGATTTGTATGAGCTGTCGATTTAGTATTTAGTGAATGTGAAACGCATCGGAAGTCTTTTCATATTGTGACTTTGTCGAGTCTTTTAAAAGTATTTATATGAAGAAATAAATAATTAATAAAATTTGTGACTCAATAAGCTTTTTATTTGTAGAATTTTTCACAAAAAATAAATCCTTTCGAATAGATTAAGACAACCTTTAACCTTTTGAGCGCCAAAGTCGCCTATACTTGACCAGCACCTGCGGGCCCTGAGCGCCAACGACGTCTATAGTTGAAAAAAAACCCGGCTCACAAAAATATGAAATATAGATATTGGAAAATTATTACTGGTATTTTAATTCTACACTCCTCAAAAAAATAACCCAGCAACATGTGAGTATAAAAAATAAGTCTCCTAGAGCCACAAGTACTAAGAAACAATGAACTAAAAAAAATGGATTTTTATCTAAGCAAATACGCCAAAGTCGTCTATGATTAACCGCTAATGTTGTACTATAAATTTCTTGAAAACTGCAAAATTCAGCTCAAATGTGATATTGTTTTTCTATTATTATTGATATTTGAATTAAAAAAGGTTAGAAACATAAAACTATAATTAGCTACATGAATATCAAAATGTTATAGGTCGCTCCACGAAGAAAATTAAAGAGTCCTACCAGTACAATCAGAATAAAAATTTTATGGCATTTTAATGAAAAAAGTCAAAGGTCAACATTATACTACACATCAGTCTCCCAGAAATAAACTCTCTTTATTACACTAGTTAAAGAAAAAATAATGTATACTGTTTAAACTATACTATGCCCTTCATAAAGGATATTTTACATGAATACTTTGCAAAAAAATCATCTAGAAAATAACAAAATATTTACAACTTTATACAATATACTACATTACCTATTTTAAACAGTCACAAAATAATTTATAAAGTAATAGATATTTGCACACTATTTGAAAATATTATAGAACAATATTTTTAAAAGTACAAAAATAATCGCAAAAATTCAAAATTTTATAACAGGTAGTCGCTAACACTTTCGATATCGACAGTACACAAGACCACACAAGAAGGTGCGCGGGCGACGGGACGCAGGGAGACTCACGCGGGAGTAGCGCGTCGCCCGTTGCTATGGTTTCGCTTCCCCGTACCTCACACCTCACCGTGCCGACATCTATTTTTCGCTTCTGCGCACTTCCATGACTCGTGGCGTTGCCTATACCAAATCATCTTCGCATAATAAATCTAATATCTCAACTCTGGCGCATCCTTAGCACGTCATCGAAAATCAGTTTACTGGGCGCCGTGGTCAAGGATAG